ACGAGCGGTAATAATATTATTATAGAAAAGGTAGTTAAAAGCCCTAAAAATTATTTAAAAACCGGGGAATTGAATAAGGCCAAATATATATTTAGTAATAATATCGATTTAAATTGTTTAATTATTAAAAAAATTCGAGGGCTTAGGCAATATTAAAATAATATTTTTAATTAACCGGGTTTATAGTAACGAAGGTGCTGACTGTAATGATAGTAAGAAAGTTATCGGTTATTGGGGGAGCGTATAAAACGATATTGTTAAATATTAATTGTTAAATTAATACGTTGAGCAAGTAAAAGGAAAAAGAGAGTGCGATTTATTTAATAGCGATATTCGGTTTGGTAGTTTATTTAATTCGAGGTTAGGATTGCGACGCGGGGTTTTAATTATATAGAAACGAATTTTAATTTTAAATCGATAATATTAAATAAACGACGTTGTAACGATTAAAATTAATTAATTGCAATCGCTCTTCCCTTAAGTAAGCGCGTGCAGCGTAATAATTAAATATAATAAATTATTACGGGGCGAGAGGGTACTATTGGGGGTAGGGTAAGATATACATTATTATACAAAGAGGAGAAAGGGAAGTATACGTAGAGGATTAGCTATATAGACAAGAGCCTAGGCAGGCCAGTCCGTGCGCGCGCACGTGAGACTATACGTAACTAGAATATATGATTAGTATATACGTATATGACTCTGGGCCATGGCACTAACTCTGGTATAGCACATGTGTAGTCAATATAGTGCAACCATATCACAGGCTAGCCCTATAATATTAATAGTACTTTCGAAAGTTTTAGGTTTAAATTATTATTCGAAGACTTGTATATCCTTAAATATAATAAAATTCTAATTTTTTACTACGTCGACGATATTATATTTGTTTTTAATAAATTATAATACGATAAAATTGCTCTAATTATTAGGAGGCTAGAGGAGAAGTATAAATTTATTAGAAATAATAATCTTTAATAGCTTTTAAATATTGAAATTATTCGAAACCGGGAGAAAGGCTTAATTTAACTAATTTAACGGGAATATATCTATAAAATTACTAAACTAATTAAGAATCCCTATACTTTCGCCTTTATATTAACAAATAATGAAAAATTCTTATTTTTCGATAATATAACTACTTTTGATAAAATCCGGGAATATTAAGTCGTTATCGGTTCTATTATATATATTATTATTATTATCTGGCTAAATATCGCCTTCGCCGCTAATAAATTAATTTATTATAATTATAATCCCGGTCCCTAATATCGTAAGGCTATTAATAAAATTTAATATTATTTAGAATTTTATTTTAACCTTTCCTTTTATTATAATAGTTCGAAGAAATTAGAGATAATTTCTAATATATTATACGCTAATAATTCCTTTAATTAAAAGAGCTCTTAAAGTTTTACTATTAAATTATTTAATAGTATAGTTTATTAGGGTATTATTAAATAAAAGCCGGTCTTAATTTTAATTATTAAAATAGAATTATTCTCTTTCTCTAGTATAATAAAGGAAGGCATCGCTATTATGCGCCTTTATAAGGAGATTAAAATTCCTTTTAATATAAAGGTACTTATAATTAATTATAATAATACCTAAACAATCTAAATATTAACAGTTAAAGTAATTAAATTAATAACTAAATTAAAATATATCGATATTTATAATTATTAGTTAAGGTAGGAGATTTAAGTAGGGAGGATCGATACTGAATATTTAGAAACGAAGAAAATATTAGTTAATAGATTAATTAAGGTTCTAGGATAATAAAAATATAAAAAATTGTGGGAGCTAATAGAGATAGCGAATACGTTAGCCCGTAAGGAAAAGGAGAAGGAGAAGGAGATTAGTGATAATATATTGGAAGATATTTACAATTTGGCTAGGGAAATCGAAGTACTAGAAGAGAAATTCTATAAATAGCTTTACTTTTGCCCATTTTAGAAAGGTTATAAATGAGGGGGTATATTAAATTTAAAAGTGGGGATTCTAACTAACTCATTAAAGGTTAGACTCCTAGCTACTTAACTAAGCCTAATTTCTAGGTATATTTAAGTTATTCCAACACCCATTATACCTTTTGGAGCGCTCGCTCGAGTCAGCTACACACACTCTTCAATCAATCAATTCTATACTGTCTAATCTGACAATAGTCTCTGGTACCTGCTACAACCGTCCGATCGGATGCACAAGCATCGGCACACTTCTATTACCGTACTATTCTTCCCGCCCGTTTTCCCCGAGCCGATTAGAGCGAATGTGTGACTGCCTAGCGCGACTGTGTAAGGCCATACAAATTTGAACCTAAGGCCACACGGGCCTCACCTCCAAAGCTGGCATCAAATCTGCATGGCCAAATTCATGACAACCATCACCATTCCAAACGACAACAACGAAAGCTCAAAACCACATCTTTTCGAGCGCCGAATTCACATTCACACGCGGGGGCCTCTCACCGGCCCCCTGCACCCCCGGAACTAACCCTAACTAACCCTAACACCTAACCCTAACCACTAACCCTAATACTAACCTTGGGGTCTTTAGGTGCGACTTACACCTTGTCTCCACACAGTCGCGCTAGGCAGTTACACAGTCGCTCTAATAACCTCGGTTTTCCCACGTGTGCAGAGTACCCTAAAAGATGGGTAATGCCTTCTGATGGCACCGATGCGCCTTTAGCCTGAATATGAGGCCCTCCCATAATCTCGGGGACGGGATAGGCGTACCGACGGGAATACGCAGCCCTTCCTTTGATATGCAGCAGACGGTAACGTAAAATGTTTGATAACGACTGCTTGTAACGTGGTCACGATCCCTCTCTAACCAAGCTCACCGCGATAGCTATCAGTGGGAAAAGGTAGTGTACAAGAAAGGCCAGACTCCCGGGAGCTTTCTTCGCTTGCCGCCTCGCCTCGCCTCGCCTCAAAGCCCCTGAACATCCACATAAGAAAACAAGCCTTTTTGATCGCCGGGACCGGCGGAGTTTGAATATGCCACCGGACTACCTACTGTACGGAGTCGGCCCTCACCGTAAAATAGCACGGAGTACTGGCTCTCACTGAATGCTTATCAAGCACTTCAATGACAAAGATAGCAATACGAGTCTGTCGACTCCGTCGTACGCGTACCCGCCTCGCCCGCCCGCTGGTGCCAGGAACAGGCTCCTAACGACTTGTTAATGTTTCAGGCTCACGCCGCCACGCGACTCAGTGGCAGGTGGAGTCTAGAGATAAGGAGAAGAGGAGCTCTTTCAGTGTCACCTGGAAGCTCTCAAGGTTCACAAGGTGCCCGCAAATCGGATGGGCTTCAAGAGGGAGGCAGGCTATAGACAGACTACCCCCTCTCCCTATATCTAGACTACTTAACCGCTTTGGGCATAACTTTTAGGAATTTGACCTATCTTATCAGTCGCTAACATCCTAGCTTAGAAATAAGGCCAAAGCCCGTTAGCTTACAATTGGCTTTTTTCGACAATTTCTCTAAGAAAAAGAGCATCCATCCCGTCGCGACCAAAGTCGAAGCATTATACATTTACTAAATACACTTCCCTAAAAGTACAGAGGCTCCAAACTTGAAGATAAGTATTGCTCTCTATCAATCTATTGTTAAAACCAGAGTGCATCACAATACTATGCAAACCTAGGTAGTTGCCATTGCATGAGGTATTAGCCGGGCATTGTCAAGAAGTATTAGTCATTGCTAGAGTTGCTAAGATGAAAGATAGCCACTGTAGGGTTGGCACTTGGAGCGCTGAAGCTTTTGCAGCCGAAGGTGTGCAGCTGATTCCAATTTTCTGTACGGCGCAAAAATGAGGGAAACCTTTGCCCAATCAGGTTAAGTAGTCTAGATATAGGGAGAGGGGGTTGTCTGTCTATAGCCCGCCTCTTCAAGAGGGGTCTGGGGGGTGGATGTTGAGGTTTTGCTGATTGTTTTTTTTCTCACTGTGTCAAATGGAGAACTTTTGCTGGAGCGGAAACGGGAATGGAGCTCGAAAGTGAGCTTGTGGAACGGTGTCACGTGTCCAACGGTGGGCGCGGACGGGAGAAGGAACCTTTTCAAGGTTGAAGAGTTGCTGGAGCCCTGGAACACCTGGATGGATAGACTCCACGGGCGTGATGTCATGGACGCCACTTTTCCCCTGGTGCCACTTTAACAGAAGGTTCCACGCATTGCTGAAATTGGAAACCCGAGTTGCTTCCTGTGTGAACATTAACTTTCGCGATAGAAGAATTCCGTGTTTTGGCGTGTCGAAAAGATATATGATTGAGGGACTAACCATGATTTCTGATCGGGATCAAATCGAGATCGATGTCGACAGGCAGTGTCGACCAAATACCGAGAGACACCATTAGTGGGGGAAGTGCGGCCGGGGACCACCCGGGCGCATGTCCCTTCCTTCCACTTTACACGCGCACCCGCCCGTTTCTGTCCGTGTGCGGCCCAATGGCCCGGCCGCAATGACGCCTACCGGCGGGCCTGGAACAGGTACTTACGCGGCACAGACCGGACGTTCGGAAGACGGTCAGGACCCGGCCCGGGTTCAAGTGTCCGATGACCGAAGATCTGCAGGGTCGTGTCCCAGCCTACACTACGGAAACCATGACGGCTCATTGAGCCGACGACACTAACAACTGTCCTGAAGGGGTCCATGCGGATAACAATGGACAACAACATTTACCATCTCATAACGTTTTACTAATCAAGAGCATTTCCATCACCTCAGTGGTCAAGTTTCCGATGAGCTGTCCAGGTCGTGTTTGAGCTTCAACCTACACAGTAAATATTTCGAGGATCACCATTCCAAGCCTGTTAGTGTAGGGGTCGATCCAGGGCTACGTGTTGCCGTTTGCCTGCCTGCCGCTGGTTTGGTAAGTGGCCGAGGTGTAAATAATGGGCAGATCTTCTCTTGGGGTAACCTTCCACAACTTTTCCCTTTGAACCCCTTAGTTTTGGCATTCAACCCGTCTTCCCACGATCGAGTCCCAGTGAAACCATACCGTGAAGGGCGAACCTGATCAAACATTTGCAACGAGCGTTGTTAGTCGGAGGATCATAAGGACTTGAAGGGTCAAGCCGCCAGACATGTCGCACTTACAAACACATTCAGGGGAAGAATCCCCACAGACAACAGGTAACATCTCACCATGTTTCGAGCAATAGGTTCTACCAACAACCCGAAGCTGACCACCCACCTATCTCTCGCCCATTCAGAAACTCTTACTCGCACCCCTTCTAATTCCGGGTCAAACACCAGTACATCCAACGGCAATGGACAGAAACCTGCGGGACGACGGCTTCCTCAAGCGATCGCGCATCGTGGGTATAAAGCCGCTTTCCCGGAGAACTCCATGGGGGCTTTCCAAGGAGCGGTGGATATTGGTGCGCATGCGATCGAGACAGATTTGCACTTGACAAAAGATGGGATTGTCGTGTTAGTACATGTATGTTTTCTGTTTTCCTTTCATTTACCTATATCCTTTCACTTCACCAACATTCTCAGTACGCTATAGGGGTGACTGTATTGACTAACATGTGTCCAACAGGATCCGTCCCTTAAACGGTGTTTCGGCGTAGATAAAAAGGTTTCCGAATGTGACTGGAGCTACTTGAGTACGTTGAAGACTCTCAGGGAGCCACAGCAATCAATCCCGAGGTTGCAAGATCTGCTGGAGTATCTAGGGCAGCCTGGTTTAGAGTCGGTATGGGTGTTGTTGGATATCAAAGTGAGTTTGAAGGTCTTCTCAAGTTGAAAGCGGGATGGTACCCAATGCTGACTTCTCATATTTCAGATCGACGACGATCCCGACGTGTTATTGGGCGCCACAGCCAAAACGATTGAATCTGTTCCGACAACACGTGCCTGGAATGAGAGAGTAGTCCTCGGTTGCTGGAATGTACGTCATAATCTTCACTCATCGTTATTTTTTGGCGTCTCACATACTTACACCCCGTTTAAAAAAAACAGGAAAACTACATCAACGTCGCCAAGTCGTACTTCCCCTCCTACCGCTTCGCCTACATCGGCTTCTCCCTCCCTTACGCCTCCCGCTTCCTGTCCGAAGCCCACTCCGACGTCGACTTCAACCTCATGCAGCACATGCTCGTCGGCCCCATTGGCGCCCGCTTCATCAGCAAGATCCGCAAGGCGCAACGGAAGCTCTATATCTGGACCGTCAACGAGGAGCGGTGGATGGAATGGGGTATTCGGAAGGGGGTGGATGGAGTCATCACGGATGACCCGAAGCTGTTTTTGGAGGTTTGTGAGAGGTGGTCAGAGAAAGGGAAAGAGCAAGTAGGGTCAGGTTCAAAGAGGGGAGGAGAGTTGAAGAATTTCAAGATGCATGTGAATGCGTTCATGCTGCAGATCTTGGCGGTTATGTTTATTTGGGTTTATTGGCCGAGGTTGGCAACAAAGGGGAAGAAGAAACAGGGTAAGGAAGGGCCTACGACGGTGGTATGAATGAAGCTTGGTGATGAAAAAGTGGTGGTGTTTGAGGGAACGAGGTAATGATAGATGGGGGTGGAATTTTGACTACTGTATTCTGTTTCATGATCAGTAGATGTAGACGTTGTTTCTCGGACAGGATGGATTGCCGATGTGATGAAGATTTTGGGACGCTTTTGGGATGCTGGTTCAGGTAGCTTTTTCGTTCAAGCGGGAGAGGTATTCAAAGAGGACGGGAGTGTTTCCGTGAGATCTCCATGGACGTTCTTGGTGGTTAGTGGTTACTTTATCCCTCCTCGGAACCAACGAAGCCTTATCTCGATCTGCTTGACAAGCTCCCAATGAACACCAACGAAGTTATCTCGCACCATGGCCATCCTGATTCCTAACACCAACCAAGTGAAGTTTGAAGTTGCATGCGCTATGCATCTCTATCACTATCATCAGAAGCACATGCTTTATGAATTGCCGGATCCACATTGTGGGGATGTTAGATGCGCTCGGCCGCTCGCGAAGCAGCCGTTGCGGTCTCATCGCGATCTGGAGAGCACCGAAACCTCCTTCAACTTCCAGGTGTGAAAAAAAGAGAAGGAGCCACAATCGGGTCCAACTTCCATTTCGAGAATGTCTTATCATTCGGGACTTTTCTGGCCTCTGGCCTTAAAGACAAAGAGTCCCCCCTACCTCTACTTCTCTGGCTTCGAAATGCCATTCGATGTTTCTGTGTTTCACATCTCGTTGTCGGAAGACTCGTCGAGCCCCAGGTTTGTACCACTTCAGGGATATTCCCGCGGTCGGATTTAGCGTTGTGCGGATCGCAAACCCCACCGGGTTCTAGTCCCTAGGTAGGTACCTACCTCACTGTCGTCATCGCTCCAGGCATACACGCTCGTGTGACCGGACACGGCGTTCGAGAATGAGAACGAACTGCCGTTGCTGCGCCCGCACAGACAACGAAACGACATGACCGGTGATATCGGATTTAGGGCCTTCCACGGCCCATCAGATGCTCCGCGTCCGCCGCGCCGCGTAATGAGGGCTTATGATTTGCCATATGGACAGCTGAGCCCGCGGTGCTCGTGATGTCCGATGTCCGGTTTGATGAGCTTTGGGCTGACATGCAATCTCTCTTCCAGGACGTTTCATTAGTGCTGTCCGGGCAGTGCTGTTGCGAAGTCGTCTTTGGGCCTAAAACAGCGCCCTATCAGCCCTCCCACCCATCCCGTAGCACCATCGCATCCAGGCTGTTTTCGGACGGCGTCCGATCTGTCCGCGCCAACCAGCCAGCCAGAGCGTCATCCAAACTGTCGGCTTTGCAGGGAGGTTTCCGGGTCGCTGGGTTGTTGTTCAGGGGGTTGCGCTATTCACGCAGTGGCGCCGCCCACCCTGAAAACCCACCGACAAGCTCCCTGCAAAGGCGACCTTTAAATTGCTTTGGCAACCCACCACAACTTTCAAACTGTTACCCTTCTCTTTTCGATCTATCGACCGGTCCCTGATCGCTGACCATAAACGAACCATGGCGAATTATACCGGAGGCGACGTTGAGGCTGACCACCTCTGCGTTTTGGTACATGGTGTAAGTCTTGTTACCCTGAGCTCCTGTCCATGCTGTGCTCGTGCATGGCGCATGATCGCCAGAATCCATGTGGCACTTTGCAGAACCACCAACTGACCCGCAACCTGAACTTTAGCTATGGGGCAACCCGATTCATATGGCCTCTGTAGCGAAGGCTTTGCGAGCTCAGCACCCACGCGACAAGTTGAACATCCTCGTGGCGCAGCGAAACGCCGGATCGTTTACTTACGATGGCATCGAGCTCGGCGGCGAACGAGTATGTGACGAGATCGAGGAAGAACTACAAGCTGTCGAAAGCAGAGGTGGAAAAATCAAGAAGATCAGCATTGCTGGCTACTCCCTCGGCGGCCTGGTGGCCCGTTATGCGATCGGCCTTCTTTATGCGCGAGGTGTGCTGGACAACCTCGAGTGCATGGTATGGACCTTCCGGACGAAAAAAAAAAAACAAGGACAAGACAGTGAGCTAACATGCTTGTGCTAGACATTTACGGCATTTGCTAGCCCATTTCTAGGAGTGCGCTCTCCTCTTCGCGGTTGGCCAAATCACGTATGGAACGTACTAGGTGCGCGTACCCTTTGCATGTCGGGGAGACAACTTTTCGGTATTGATGAGTTCCGTGACACGGGAAAGCCCCTTCTCGCGGTTCTGGCGGATCCGAAATCTATCTTCATGTGCGGTCTTGCCAAGTTCAAGCGTCGTATCCTCTATACGAATATCGTGAACGACAGGTCTGCCGTCTACTACACCACCGGCATAACGAAAACGGACCCTTACACCGACTTGGACAAAGTGGAAGTCAACTACGTCAAGGGGTATGAGCCTGTTATTCTGGATCCGACAAACCCCGTATCCCCCGCGCCACCCAAGCCGAAGGAACCGCTTATCGCCAACCTGAAGAAATGGGTAAACAGGGTGCCCTTTATTTTGGCCGTAGCGGTTATTGTCCCCTTGGGATTGGTCGCTTTCTTTATCAACTCCGCGGTTCAAACGGTGCGAAGTTCCAAAAGAGTTAAGCTACACGAGAAGGGCCTGGCGGGAATTAACGTTGACAGTTACCGGGTGGACCTATGGATCAAGGAGATGCGCGAAGCTGTCGAACATGCGTATGAAGACCTAAACAGCTCTCAAAACCAGGACTATCTTGGGCTGTCCGACAGCGATCCCGGCGAAGAGACGGATGATTCCTCCAACCAGGAGATTATGGCGCTCGAGCGCAAGCAGTCACATCCACACCAGCCCACACTTGCTCTGGCGCCATATCAGTTTGCTGCTATCAACGCGCTGGATGCACTGGGCTGGCGGAAGTATCCCGTTTGGATTCACAATGATCGACACAGTCATGCTGCCATCATTGTGCGGATGGAGAAGCCTACGTTTGAGGAGGGGAAGGTAGTGCTCAGCCACTGGGTGAACGAGGAGTTTCTGATTTAAAGCGAGCGTTGTTTGATTCCCTTTTTACTCTTTGGTTAGACATTCTCTCTTCTTGGGTAAGGCTATTTTCTTCTGTCTGGGTGGCGCGGCGTTTTGAGGCAGCGTTTCCTTCATCATACACGCAACATATGTTCCAGGTATTTACATCATGCTGTTTACTGGTGTTTAGACAAACAGGGGACAATGCGTCTGGCTTGTTTTAAGACAGGATACTCCACACACTCATAGAAGTTCTAAATTCCAAGTTATTTTAAAGCTCACACCAGTGATGGGAAGGAATATGAAGTCTTGAGAACAGCCCATGGTGTAAACATTGAAACGATATCAGCACCGACGTCACCGATGGACTGGCTCGATATGATCTCTCCGAAGGTTGGGGCCGACAACCTTAAAATGTGGCCTACCTTTCCCAAAGGAACTTGGTGTTTGGCGGGGCCGGCACTAGTACGGCAGCGAGGATCCACATTATTTTTGTTCGCTCTATGATTTTACGTCATGGCCCGAGCTTCCAATGTTTCGGTGTTTCATCTGATTCGGCCTATCAATACAAACTAGCCGTAAAGGTGCACGCGTCCCCCGCGCAACCAAACAGTCGAAACATCCAACCATGACCGCGCGAAGCAGCAGATAACTTCAGACGAACAAGCAAAGCCTGCTCATCATTCCATCACGGTCATCGATTGACCCATGAGGACGTCGCACATAGCCAAGGAGACATCGAGGCTGTTCGAGGGAGCAACAACCGCCATGGCAACACCAGCAACACCACGTCGCTCAACGCGTCTGAGCACTCTTGCCCGATTCGCCTATGAAGCAAACAATGCGAATGCGAATGCCAGCTCGAGCTCCGCGCCGGTTGATTTGCGATCTTCACCATTGCGAGCCACGAAGATCGAGGAGGATCACGAGGAAGACGAACACGGAATCACCTTCGGGTCTGATATAGAAGATGCCGTCAAGTCCAGTGGCTCGCCAGCCGTCAAGGTCAAGCGCAGGAACCCAATCGTCACGCGAAAACGGAAGCGTGTTACCACGACAACTACCGCGACAGCGCTGAAGACGGAGGAGTCACTGCCCGCCCCGACGAGGATCAAAACCGAACGGAAGAGTACGAGAATCATCAACCAAACCGCAGAAGCCGAAGTGAAATCGGATTCCGAGATCGATATGAACGATATCCCGGTCGTGGGTACATCTACTACATCCAGCAGAAAACGCACCGCCCGCAAACCCGCCCGCAAGACGACCGATGCCCTTACTGGCGAGGTTAAGGTCGAGCCCCCTTCTGACTGGGAGGAGGTGTACAACTTGGTCAAGGAGATGCGCATCTCTGGCCCCGCCGCCAACGCCGCAGTCGATACCATGGGATGCGAGCGCCTGGCCAGCAACAACGCATCAGCACGCGATCGGCGGTTCCATACTCTCGTCGCCTTGATGTTGTCGAGCCAGACCAAGGACACAGTCAACGCGGAGGCGATGTTGCGGTTGAAGAAGGAACTACCTCCCCACACCGAGGGCGCGGAGTCGGGCCTGAATCTGGAGAATATGCTGGCTGTTGAGCCGGCCGTTTTGAACGAGTTGATTGGCAAAGTTGGGTTTCATAACAACAAGACCAAGTACGTACTGTCCTCTTGTTCACATCTAAGGTCCGTATACTTACAAACTACTGTAACAGATACCTCAAACAAGCCGCCGAAATCCTCCGCGACCGTTACAACTCCGACATCCCCGACACCATCGAAGGCCTCATGTCCCTTCCCGGCGTTGGACCCAAGATGGCGCATCTTTGCATGTCTGCCGAGAACGGCTGGAACCGCGTCGAGGGTATCGGTGTGGACGTCCACGTCCACCGCATTACCAACCTCTGGGGCTGGCAGAATCCGCCCACCAAGACCCCCGAGGAGACGCGCCTTGCGCTGCAGTCGTGGCTGCCCCGTGACAAGTGGAAGGAGATCAACTGGCTGCTGGTCGGGTTCGGACAGTCGGTGTGTCTTCCCGTGGGAAGGAAGTGCGGTGATTGCGAGCTGGGCCTGAGGGGCTTGTGTAAAGCTGCGGAGAGGAAGAAGGTCATTGAGGGCCGGAAGAGGAGGGAGGTGGTGAAGGAGGAAAAGGTGGAGGTCGAGACCGAGGTTGTCAGGTTCAAGGGAGAGCCGAAAGAGGAGGGTGGCGAGGAAGATGAGCGGGATATGGTAATCAAGAGAGAGAAGAGAGAGGAAAGGATTGAGGTCAAGGAAGAGGAGGTGGCTAGGGTCAGGGATGTTGTGGTCAACGAGCCCATACCGCCGGCGGTTCGGGAAGCTGTTGCGGATCAAGCTGTGAAGATGGAGAGCATTGAGGACGTTGAGATGGAAGATGTCGATGAGGCTCAATCGGCCGTTGCCAACATTGAGCCCACGATAGAACACAGCCCGCCCATCATCAAGCAAGAAGGTATGAGGGTGAAGCGCGAGAGGCTCGCCGATGAGGAAGAGGACAATGAAGAGGCTGACCAAAAATCTGTTGTCAAGGTAGAAGTCCTTAGGGTAAAGCAGGAACAGAGTGTTCATGGATTGGAAGCTGAGGAAGAAGAGAACCAGCCACCGCAGGTGGTCAAAAGAGAGCCTGCGCGCGTCAAGCAGGAGCCAAATATTGGCGCCGAAGAGGGGGAGTCGGCACATCGGCACTGCGTCGTGAAAAGAGAGCCCGAAAGGGACCTGGCTACAGTCAAGCAGGAGCTCGATTTCGACGAGGAAGAAGAAGGCGATGACCTTCAACCACAAGTTGTAAAATCCGAGCATCCGAGAGTGAAGCAGGAGTCTGAACTCCCAGAGCACGGCGAGGAAGAAAACCATCGCCCACGCATTGTGAAGAGGGAATCCCTTAATGGAGCTACGATTGTCAAGCCGGAGCCGAGCCTCAACGAGCAAGGCGCGGAAGACCGCCAGGGGCGCTCGGTCAAGAGAGAGCCACTCCTGGAACGCGCGATAGTGAAGCAGGAACCTAACCTCGGTGGTTCCGAGGAGCATGAGGCCGATTACCGGCCATCCATTGTCAAACGAGAGCCTGGACGGGTGAAACAGGAGGCCGAGGATGAGCAGGAGGAGGAAAAAGAACTCGATAAACCAGCCGTGAAGAGCGAACCTGTCGAAAGGGAGCAAGAACCTGTCAGGGTGAAGAGGGAGGCTGCTGATGAAGGCAAACAAGAGGAGGAGGAGGAGGATGTTCATGTTAAAACTGAACATGGCGGTAGAGTTAAGGTGGAGGAGGGAATGGCGAGGATCAAACTGGAAAGATGACGTCGAGATGCACTGTTGGAAATGTCTTTTGATTCCTATAGCAGTGTGGTAGTACTTTCAGGGTAAATAGGTTATACGTAAGATGGAATCAACAGACTCGAATGGATTCAGGTGAACATGCCATATCTCATAACATTTCCATCTCCTTTTCATCTCCTTTCCATCGCTATCACACCAAACTTTCCTCTGCTTCCCAGCCCAGCTCTTCATCTTTTAGAAACCTCCCTTCCTCAATTCCCCTCTCTCCTCAAACCAACCAAGCCTTAGCCTCCTCCTTCTTAAACACCTCACCCCACGTCTCGCCCTCCCCGCGGCGGAACTCCTTCACGTCGACAACATCCTTAGCCCCAAAGTTGCCGTACAGGTGCGGACACCCGTTGGTATCCTCGACCTCGTCCCACTTGACGCTAGCCTGGTCAAAGTTGGACAGGCGCAGCTTGAGAAGGTAGAAGGAGGGTGTGTTGGTAAAGAAGAGCGACGCTGTTGTTGGGATCTTTTGTTTGTTTAGCGCGGTGACCATGCCAAGCAGAATAATTGAGAGATGTTGAAGAAAACGGAACATACCTGCCACGAGGTGCTCATATGAATAAACCCGTCCTTCTGGTCCAGCTCCGAAAGTGGGTAGGACTCGGGGATAGGGCTGGGCGGGGCTTCGGGCGTGATCTTGTACACGAACTCGGGGAGCGGGGAAGGAGGAGGAGGGATGACCATTTTGGGAGTTTGGATGGATGATGTAGACAGGGTATGTTTGGAGGTCTCTTGTGTGGCGCTTAAAAGCGAGAAGGGTCAAAAAGACTTTGGTGTTGTTCTTCTATCTTATAAGCTGTGCGATGTGATTATGATGAAAAGCGAAGCGTGAGTTGCTGATATGTTGTCATGGTTGAGGCCTGGTGTTGCTTGAATCTGCTGTACCTGTTAGATAGGGTTAGGGGTAGTGGCGGTAAATGGGATCTTTAGAGGGAGCAACATTGCTCCACATTGTTTTGTCCACGTCTGTCTTCGACACTTCACATGCTCGACAAACCTGTTCCATTGAATGTTTACTTCGGTACTCTTGACACCACCAGGAGCTTGTATGGTCAAGCGAAGTCGTGCTCAATAAGTAATAATAGACAAGGTTTCGGGTACCCTTCATCGTCAAATGGCTTGAAGCTATGAGGCAACGAACTTCAAAGGCAATCGCAGAGTCCTTAGGTTAACAGAACGAGGTGTACAATGTGTAAACGATGAGCAAAACGAGGAGAGGTGACTAGTTGACCTTTAATTTATATCATTAATGGAAAAATACCAGCTACTTCCTTTGCCTTGAATAAACTCATCGGTTCAGACGTTGCCTTCTCAATAATTGTCGGCGCTACCAATGCCACTCTCTCATCACTTCGTATTTGTCGTCCCGGAGTTCAGTTGCGTCAAGGGATAAGTAGTTAGTGGATCGTAACCTCTGGGCTCGGAGTAGCTCATCAGTTATGGTCGGCCGCCAGAAGGGATATAAGGTAGCTAGGCGACAATCTTATCGTTATGGTTCGAGGTAATCGTGACGATTCTATATATCTGAGGACGATAACACAACATTGGCGGACATGATAACATGAAAGACTCAAGTACTTCCACTTCCAGCCGCGAAGGATATGACCCGGAACGTTGTTTCTTGGGAACGATAACATCCGCCCGACCCAGCTGCACCTGTCGAGCGGTTCGGGAGTTTTTCTTGAGGCGAGATGTACATGCTAGAAGAAATATCCAATCACGTAATTCTGAAGACATATCTGGCAATCTGTCAATTCCCCTAACAAAAGGTTACGGTGACGCGGTCACGGTCACGCGAGCCGATCAGGCCCTGAGGCGCTAGCGTAGAGAGAACAATCCACAGATAGCGGGATGAGACCCCGCTATACATAGTTGGCTGCAACAGTAGCGGGAAAGAGACTGGGGGGAATGTACGTATCAAAGTGAGTAATAACCTAACATCACGCCCTGAGATTGTAAGTGACCGTCGATGGAGAATTGGTGAATTGACATGCACTCTTTGTGAGAAAATATGTCGAAAGGGAGAAAAAAAATACGGGCTGAGTGAGCATAGCGAGTTCTGCCGAGAGCGAGAGGCTTTTCCAGTCGATAAGGCACGGCCGGGGGTTGGGTTGGGTGTTATATGCCCAAGATAGCTTAGTAAGAGTGATTGCTTAGAAAGCCGCAGAAATCCCGGGATGCCGTGAAATCACCGAAAACCAGTCGGATAAACTGGCGAGAGAGACACCACAAGAACACGGCGTACAGTCAACGGTGACGAGGGCACGAGGTAGCAAACCGTGCGGAACCCACTTGGCGGAACCCCACCCTTTGGAAGGCGGGGTCCCGTCGGCGCTGCGGCCGATGGAAACAGGCCCCGTTTTGTCATCATTCGCAAGCTTTCTTGGTCCGATCGTAGTGAGATAAATTGACTTGACCTTCTCCAAAACTTCATTTCAACTCTGAGTTGATTTTGGATTCTACATTTCATTACATTCAGACACAATGGCATCCACAGCAGGAAAGGTAAGAGAGAAGGTCGAAGAAGCTCAAGCTGAAGCTCAAGCTCAAGCTCAAGCTCCGCTGCACGATATACGCTTGCTCCAGTTCTTTTGAGAGCGGTGTCGCGATTGGGAGGACAGAAGGACTTTACTTCTCATCGTCAGAGAGAGATGAGTTTGCGTCATCAGGGACCATGTGCTGATCCGGTTACCATCTCCCGCAGACCATTACTTGCAAGGCTGCCATCGCCTGGGGCCCCGGCCAGGAGCTCAGCTATGAGGACGTTGAGGTGGCTCCGCCCAAGGCCCACGAGGTCAGAATTCAGATCAAGCACACCGGTGTCTGCCACACGGGTGAGTTTGCTCGCACTCCAAGAATCCTGATGGCTCGCTCGGTTGGGCTTCCGTGCAGTTCGCAGTCGCATTAACCAAAGACATGGTGTGATACGCAGACGCCTACACCCTCTCCGGCAAGGATCCCGAGGGCGCCTTCCCCGTCATTCTCGGACACGAGGGTGCCGGTATCGTCGAGTCCGTTGGCGAGGGCGTCACCAACGTGAAGCCCGGCGACCACGTCATCGCTCTCTACACCCCCGAGTGCAAGGAGTGCAAGTTCTGCAAGTCCGGCAAGACCAACCTCTGCGGCAAGATCCGCGCCACCCAGGGCAAGGGTGTGATGCCCGACGGCACCTCCCGCTTCCGCGCCCGTGGCCAGGACATCCTCCACTTCATGGGCACCTCCACCTTCAGCCAGTACACCGTCGTCGCCGACATCTCGGTCGTCGCTGTGCGGCAGGATGCCCCCATGGACCGCACCTGCCTGCTCGGCTGCGGCATCACCACCGGCTACGGCGCCGCCACCATCACCGCCAACGTTGAGAAGGGCAGCAATGTCGCCATCTTCGGCGCCGGCTGCGTCGGCCTCAGCGTCATCCAGGGTGCTCAGGCCAACGGTGCCGGCAAGATCATCGTTGTCGATGTCAACCCCGCCAAGGAGGAGTGGTCTCGCAAGTTCGGCGCCACCGACTTCGTCAACCCGACCACCCTCCCCGAGGGTCAGACTATTGTCGACAAGCTGATCGAGATGACCGACGGCGGTTGCGACTACACCTTCGACTGCACAGGCAACGTTAACGTCATGCGTGCTGCTCTCGAGTCTTGCCACAAGGGCTGGGGTCAGAGCATCATCATCGGTGTTGCTGCTGCCGGTCAGGAGATTTCCACCAGGCGTAAGTTTTTCCATGCGTCACCTCATTCCTCTGCTAGCCATTATGTGCTCAATAATGCTGACGTACCTTCATCCTATAGCATTCATGTTGGTCACCGGCCGTGTCTGGAGGGGTTCCGCCTTCGGTGGCGTCAAGGGCCGCTCTCAGCTGCCCGGTCTTGTCGACGATTATCTCGACGGCAAGATCAAGGTTGACGACTTCATCACCCACCGCATGGGGCTGGCCGAGATCAACGAGGCCTTTGAGGTCATGAAGCAGGGCGACTGCATTCGTGCGGTCCTCGATATGTCGGCGTAAGGATAGTCATTGATTGCAATATGAACACCGTATTATGAGAAGTCAGAAAAAGCAAGCGTTGCATGCCGCCGCCTTGGTCTCACTATGTGCGAGTCGGTAATGGTCAAGTCGGAGAAACGGCCACGATTTTGCTGTGGCGAACCACCCAGCCGTTGCGGTTTGCGAGGCCGAAGTGACAAGGCGAAAAGAGAGGACATATCTGGCACGATGAGTTGATGGGGACCTTGGAGATCAAGAAGTGCGCGACAAGAGGTGATTTGCCGTGAAGGTATTTTGTTGTTCACGCAATGTCATGCGGTGCTCGTAAGTCACCGAGCTATTCCAATAGTAGCCAAGGTGGTGAGACAGAGCCACGCGATGTGTCTTGGTTGATGCAAGCCAAAGAGCCACACGGTTCTTATGTTATAAATGAAATGGTAACGTACGTGAGTGCATCGATAAAGAGGATCTCTGCGGCTCACTGCCATCGAGTTCTCTCCGTGCTCCGCGCCGGAGTTAACGACCCGGAGAGGATGCCGTGGAAGCGTCTAGGCTGTTGATTGTGTCGCTTTCCAACACACGAATTTAGGATCGCGAATTCATGAGAGTAGCCAAAAACATCGATGCCTGCACCTTTTAAAACAGACAGGTAGGATTTCATCGAATACGCATCAGTCATGAAGAAGCAAAGCAAGCAAGCCCCCCTGCGCATCACACAATGGCCATCCTATCCATTCGCAGTCGGGTACGCAGTATTAGAGGAAACCATCGTGTTCTTTAGCGATTCGTCGGCGTTGCAGTTGTGACAGTGACATACAATCCCTTGGATGCAGGCGAGCAACAATGGAGGCAGCGGTCCTGGTTCCTGAATGGCAGTACTTGGTGAATGTGGCAACAAGTGTAGAAAGCCGGGGTGCGTTGACGACCTCCATGCCGTCCTCTTCCGATGCCCTGGGAGTAGATGCTCCTCTGAATGGAGACAGGAGACATGCGCCGGCCGCCGGAAGCGGTGTAAGGGATCATGGACAAATGCTGGCAAGCTGGGACCCCCGGATCGGATGTGATACGGAGGCGGGGAGGATGGAGGAGAGGGGCTTTGAGGTTTGATCGCTTGCTGTCCGGTATTTGTTTGAAGGCGGAAGCATGCGAAATCTTGGGCAGCAAGCGGATGCCTGTACACTCCCGAAAGCCCGAGTCGTCTTTTTCGTCCTCTTGTCGATACAGGCAAGATGTGGCGTCTGTTGGTTCTGGCCTGATGTCCTTAACTGTTGACGCTGACGGGTGTTGGACCCGGCAGATCGATCACTACCTAACAACAAAGAAAGGAGCCGCATCTGAACTTCAACATCGTCCCAGGCCGCTGAGGCTTCTGGAATGTATGTTGGCGCACACCGTGCAGCCACCCAGACCCAGTGAAACCGAAATACGTCTTTGCTGCACATGGTAAGAGCCAGAAATAAAATTTAATGCTTGAACCTGGCGTTGAGGTTGGGATCAAGTTTGCGAGGCAGATAGCAGATGTTAGACGGACTTGTATGGATGTCCGTGAAGCAGATAGGCGGCTAGCCTCCCCGCGTTGGTGGACCCACTCAGCCACTATCTGTCTAGATGCGGAGGGCTGAAGTAGCGGCTTTGGTATTTCTCATATCTCAAGCTGTTTATAGAGACGATACGATGTCCGAAAAGCGGCAACTTGGAAAATAATGTTGGCGGAGTGTCTGTTGTGGCGGTAGTTGGTACGCTAATGATCTTCTTCCAGTGGAGGTTGGAGGTTGGCGGAGGACAACACGGCATCTGGAACGTCGTCTAAGGTACAATATGGCCACTTCACACAAGAAAGCAGTGAGACCGGCTTCGGTACCAGCGATGATTTGTTGCTTTCTCTCCAGCAAAGATGCTGTGGCTTGTTGTTGCTGCAAGTAGACGCTTCCCGAGACATAAAAAGTCAAGAGATGGCAAGCGCCACTCAGGCAATCCAGACGTGGCCGGGGACCCGGGGAGAGAGCGAGGTGCATCTGAAGCCCGGGAATGGGCCACGCGAGCAAATAATTCTTCTTGTCATATTGGTTCCAACAAAGACGATGGATCGCGGGCATGAGCAGCAACAAAGGAGAATATCGGCGATAAGAGTTACTCTGGGGTCTCTGACGCAAACCCCAGTCTCGCACCACGTCCAAGTTTGTTGAAGGTATCCAGAGCCCTCCGATAGACCTGAGCAGTACACTAGGTACCCCGGAAACGACCATCACCACCCTGGAAATACCAGTGGTACCCCGGGAAAGCGAGACCCCTACCCTGCGAGTTACCCTGTGAATCCCCGTACTGGATGCTGCACCCTGATAGTGCACGCAGTAGCTTGTGTGTCTGGTGTCTTGTCACTGCTTGTCCAAGGCCCGGGCCCACTGTGCTGCCGGACACGCATTATTACGCATGTCTGTAGCTGCCTGCAAGCGATGCCTACCAAAAAGTGATGATCCAGTCGTGATGCATTCATTACCAGGAAGGCGGCTTGCGGAGTGCCACCCACTCACTCACAAGTCACAACAACCTAACAACAACAACAACAATGATATCGACAAAGGTTTGTTTGTTGGTCACTGCATGGAGTTCCACCACCCCAACTGTCGTGAACCAAAGGTTGTGCCGCATAGGGAAATCTGGACTGGCGCCTGTGACCCTTTCACTATCAGGTGGTGACTGATGTGATCTGAGAGCTGAGCTGAGGTCTCACTCTCGGTGCTAACGCGGGCAGGTTCTCGCTGCTCCTTGACTGTTCTCGGCAGGCCTGTCAAGTTCCATTCACAAGCCGCTGACAACTCGCCTGAAGGCCTGGTCCCTTGTGAGGTTCTCCTGAGCTCATCCGGCCACCAACCTCGTGGGTTCTCGGCTTGGACGGAGTCGCTTCAAGTCGCTTGGAGTCACTGGCACTGAGCACTGGCACCACTTTCCGTCGATCCAATCCCTTCCAATTCCCGGCGCCAACAACCACGGACAAGGGAGCCTTGGGTATGGTGCTAGCGGGTCTTTGCGATCAAAAGGCCAATTGGGCCCTGGTTGTCGGCCCCAGCATTGCCTCCCGTGTGGCCGTGCCGTCATCGACACGCCCACGATGGCCGTGCTGTTCTCCATGGGACAAGATGTCGACGTTGCCAGCATATGCCATGCCATGCCAGCAGGTAGGCTAGATCTACCGCTCTACCGCTCTACCGCCTCCCTCCTGCACTGTCACCACTCGGGTCACTTGTAGCTCCCTTGTCACTTACACTGGTCACACATCACGTCCAAGTCGGGCCCCAGCTACAACTCTTGTACTTATTCATCCTAACTCAACCACCCCCCGGCCAACGAGGTCCAACGCTTTCCAGCCATTTCCACTTGCAACAAGAGTCTCGCGAAACTAGCCCGAGTTAAATCTGCCACTTGGCCGCCTATCCCTTGGTTCAAGTTGTCCCCAAAGATAACACCACGTGAGCCTTGTTGGCATCCGCTCATGACTCTCGGCTTCTCGGCTCGTCACCTCCACCGGCTCTGTTTATAAGCATCCCATTCCGCCGACCTCGAACCTCCGTCGTTCAATCTTTCCTGACTCACTGCATTTCGTCTCATAAGCCGTCTACCTATTGATCGATTCGCCACTCACCATTCACTCGTCCTATCCTCGGGAAACCCAAAGGACAACTTAAAAAACACCCAGACCAGAACTCACCCAAGAGTCGCTGCTCTTCCTCCTCGCTAATTCCACAACCTCCACCCAAACATCACCTTCACGTTATCCAACCTCCACATTAACTCAACAACCACCTCCGACAATATGCCTGCCCCCAGGAGACTCAAGTGCTCGCTCACCGAGTGCAGGCTCCCCGCAGCGCCCATCACAGGCGACTGTACTTTCTGCGACGGTCACTATTGCAGCAAGCACCGACTATTGGAGAGCCACAAGTGCAAGAACCTCGAAGACGTAAGTAGCAACAAGTCAAAATGGTGGCTTGCTGGGCTATCAGATGTCTTGCTTCAAGAGGAATTTCGTGCTGACATGACTGTTTCTTCTGTCACCAGTGCAAGAAGGAAGCATTCGAGGCAAATGCCCTGCAGCTCGAAAAGGAGCGGACGCGGGTTATCAGGGGCGTATAATCGACGACCTCATCAACGTCAGCGTCGGCGTCAGCGTCAACGTCGTCAAGGGCAACTTCTCTATTCGTCTTCTATCGTTGGGCCCGAGCTCAGTATATCGTCAGATAATCTATCTGAGAGGATAGTGAACGACGATTTGCCGCAACGAGAAGCGGTGGCAAACTATCACGACGCGATCACCGGTACCGGCGATACCATCGAACGGTTTAACTGGGCAACGAATACGGCGACGAACTAGCGAACGACAGTCGTCAGGTTCCTTGCCCCCTCGACAGTGACGCTGAGCAAGCAGGGTGGCGGCACTCATCCGGGATTCTCGGGCGATGCCACTAATCATCAGCCATCCACCCTTTGCTGGCGACTCTTACTTTTGCATTGCTTTTTTATCTTCTCAGGCGGGCGTTTGATATTTAGTTGGGAAAGGTTCATTTCGAGAATTGGCGCTTGGGGAAAGCGCCGACATCCGGCAACACTTTGGAGCATCGGGGTTTGCAGGTAGCATCATCTCTGCACGGCGTCAATGGACCTGGGGTATCTTCTTTTGCTCCTTGATTTATGCACGTGATTTTTCAGTCTTCGCGCGGGGGGGAGGAAGAGGTGAACCAAGGCATGGCCCAACGTGGTCGTGGTGTTAGTTCCGGGGATAGATCATGATTACATATAGATCTGGATCTGGTGGCTGTCTTGGAACGGCTGGCTGGGTTATGACCGGTCGGCGCATTGGGCTGTTTGCTCATTTCAAAGACGTAAATCTTAAGCCTGAATATCGGGTAAATAGAAATCAAACATCGCCAACAAATATGTCCGGAATCGTATCTTTGCGTGCTGTAGTTGAATGCGTGAATCAAATGTGTTGAAGTGTCGGAGAGGATCTCCTGGCCACCGAGGTATCTTCGCAGTCGTCGACGAATGGAGCGGGCCGCCGGGCGGCAACCGACTATATCCACCCCATCTCTTATCTTCCGATAACCCCCCGGGGCCCGGAGCCGGAGCTGCTTCGGACTTGCACACTGACGACATCAGCAGATAAGCCGATAAGACGACTTGGCGATACCTTATGTGAGCATACCTTAGGAATGCCATGAATCTCGATGGACTGAATTCTACTGGAAGAGGTGACGGGAAGCCGCTCTTTATCCTCATTATAGATTCAGACATCACTTACCTACCGGTACACTTCACACACACGAGCTATTCCTTACAAACCTAGTCTTATGTTTATCTCCTCATCAGTCTTCATGACTTTCCCATGTCATGGGCCATGCCAAGCTGCATTGCACTTTTGGCTGATATCAAGAACTGACGCTTGTCCACAAACGATCCAAGTTCCTCACTTCATTTACTCCCCAAGTCAAGCTCACTCGGCGCTTCAAATCCGCCGCCGCTTCAATCCAAGTGCCTTTCTCCAGTAGGCCTAGCTTCGAGCATCATCGTCGGTTCTGCCAAATGAAATGATCCTCCTACCGCTACTGATGCTGATGGTGATGGACACTTATACATATCCTACCAACCCAAAGTCTTCAATCGACAGACAGAACTCTGCTCGATTTATTTATCAACTACTCATCAACCATCAGCTAACCAACCCCACAGATACTGAAACTGCTTGAGTTTCAACCGGCACAACCCAACAACCCAACAATTCCTCCGGCCTCCTCCTCCTACCTTACCCACCAGTGACGGAAGGTTCTATCCCAGTTTTTACGCAATTCCCCAACGTCTTGGCTGTTGAATCGCCGGCAATGTAACCCCATCTTGCTGAGAGGGGATCGGCTGTGGACACCAGAGCGTGATGAGACCTACGTGCCTTGCATAGAAACCGTAGTAATATTCGTTCTCGGTTTTCTTCCTTCTCTCTCCTCTCCGAGTTACATCTGAGCATACGTACGCAATGCTGCGTGATGACTAGATCAGATACAGATACCGATACCAGTGGGCACCGTCAGGCGCTTCGAAACCCCAAGGCCCATATGTATTTCGTATGTCTCGCTTACTGTCTTCGCATGTAGAGTAGTTGGTTGTAGTTGGGAGGAGAAGGGTCTTGTCTTCCTTCCGCTTTTGTGAAAGGGCGAAGCTCCGCCGTGAGGGGATTCGGAGGAAGGGTATCAGTTAGTGTTAGTGTGTCGATGGTCTTGTTCTCGGCAAGTCTTTTGGAGGAAATTCATTTACCGGGCGGTTGCATTGATGGCCAGCTCCTCCGCACCGTCACAACCTCCAATCACGGTGGACTACCAAACCTGGAAATTTCTTTACACCATTCTTAAGACGTTCTAGCAGGATTCCTGAGCAAATAGGAAGGAGACAACCAATCAAAACTCCAACTTGAACCACCACTTATAAATCTAAATCTCAGATGACCTCGTGGCTTGTCCCGTTACCCGTCTCCATCTTAAAGAAACAAGGTCAGGCTACCATTTCCCCCCTCTGAAGCGACGCTCTTGCTCTTTCGGGTCTGGTAAGAAGAGTGGAAGAATACCAGAAGTAGGTAAACATGCATATACCCATCACCACACGAATGAGATGTAAGCCTACGAGCACGCCAAAACGTCGTCCGCACACCGGCAGCCGCACATGCCGACCAAACGACCAAAGATGACGGGCATCACTGCCCATTCAGGCAGGTTACAATATGTGACGACGGGACAAGATCCCATAACCGCTCTGGGAGCATGAAGAAGATGGGAAACATCATGTTTGTGTTCATGCTATCGTGTGTGGTGTGTCGTCGATCAACACCATACATACCAAGACGTTGAGGGCGCGGACGGAGCGGGAAGGGGAGGAGGCACTGAGGGGAGAAAGGTATAAAGACCAGACCATCTGGCCCAGTTTAGAAAGAAAAGGACTTCTTCTCTTCTGTGTGCCAACAGTTCAGCAGTTCAACTGTTCCACCTGGTCCTCATCATCATCTTCATCCACCATCAAGATGAAGTTCTTCTCCACCACCCTTGCCCTCTCCTCCCTCCTGCCGACGGCCGCCTGGGCCTGGGCCGGCAGCAGCGAGTCCGACAGCACCGGCGCCGGTGGTTCCCTCTTCCGCCGCGCCGAGACCATCCAGCAGACGACGGACCGGTACCTCTTCAGCATCACGCTCCCGCAGTTCACTGTCTACCGCAACGCCAGGAACCCGGCGACACTGGACTGGTCCTCGGACGCGTGCAGCTACTCGCCCGATAACCCGTTGGGATTCCCCTTCACGCCTGCCTGCGACCGTCACGATTTCGGCTATCGCAACTACAAGGCCCAGTCGAGGTTTACGGATGCTAATAAGTTGAAGATTGATGGGAATTTCAAGAATGAGTATGTCTCTTTCTTTCTCTCTCTTCCATCTCTTTAGTTTCCCTTTCTCATTCCTTCCCCTCACCATCATAAGCATCCCATCAACGCTCTCCAAACCCTCCCCTCTGTCCCCCTTTCAAACCTTCGCCAATTAACCACCCCAACCAAACAGTCTCTACTACCAATGTGACACCAACGGCTACGGCTCCACCTGCCACGCCCTCGCCAACGTCTACTACTCCGCCGTCCGCGCCTTCGGTCGCACCACGGGCGAGCTCCAGGAGGAGTACGATCTGTTGCTGGCTCACTACAACGAGCTTGTGGCTGAGGCTATTGACAAGGGCGAGGATCCGTTGTACTATTAGTTGTTGTAGTGGTATCAAGGCAAGGGGAAGGGGAATTGAACTAGGCTTTGGATCAGGAATTGCCGTTGATTGCGTGTGACTATTCCGCGTGGATTGCTTTGTAATGTTTGTGCTTGTGGTATTGCTCGTTGAATGCGGTGAGTTGGGAGGTGAAAGACTGTATACTTAGGTTAGCATGGAGGTCATGTACTGAAAGGTCAGTATGGTGGCACTGCTTGGCCGTGGGCTTACCTTTGAGAGATATACATGGCATCCGTCCTTCCCATGATGTGTTTTGTAGATGTAATACAAAGAAACGAACGCTTATATAACGGCTGTGGATCAGTTGGATATTTCTTCATGTCACCCACCAACAGCCAGTTTCTCATTGACATACACATTAATTGACTAGCCCAACCAGAGAAACTGAGCCGATAAGAACCAGATTTGCTACATACCACTTCTATTTGTTTTGTTCTTCTTCCGCCTGATCCGAAGCTTCATCCGCTTCTACCATGCCCTTAGACATTGCCGCTGCCATACAAAAGCCAGCATAGAAGCATTCATCAACCATACCCAACCACAGTTACATTCACTATCAGAACCCTACCACAGAGCATTATCCGCGTCAGCTAGCCACAATCCCGCCAGATCCTTCGCCACCCCAAGTCTCAACCTCCGCATGACATCCTCGCCGGTAGTCTTGGCCGGCATGTCCGCCCTCCAGTCCCAGCCGCGCTTGACGGGGTTCATCTTGGCACCGCTGCCGACCAGCCCGCCGCTGAGCGAGTTCTTCAGCTGAGTCGCCACCATGGTGCTGCCCGCCAGCACGAGGCTGCCGCTGGCATTCTTCTTGATGAGGTCGGCGGGGGTCGATCCCTTGAGACCGCCAGGCGCTGAAGCAAGCACGATCTGCAGGAACTCCTCGCATGTGTTGCGGACGCGGTCGCTGACGGCCTGGAGATCTTCGATGGCCTTGAGGATGGTGTCGATCTGGTCGAGGTTGAGGATGGGGAGGGCCTGCTGGCCGAGGTGGACGTTGGTGTTGTCCGGGTTGGTGACGAAGGCAAGAGCTTCGCCGAGGAGAGCGAGCAAGAAGTCCTCGCCGACGATGCCATCGCGCGTCGGGTCGAGGAGGCCGCCCCGGATGTTATCGTCGGAACTAGCGATGACGCTGACCAGTGCGGCGGCGGCCTGTTGCTTGCGCGCGTAGGGGGTGGCGTTGGGAAGGATGCTCTCGTCGTCACGGATGATGAAGTACTGACGGAGCGAGGCGTAACCACTGAGCATCTTACCGAGGAGTTCGGCAGCCTCGAGGTCTTGCTTGGCACACTGCTCGAGAGTTTCGTTGCGCTCGTTAAGGAGGCGGTGAAGCCAGTCGTCGAGATCTTCGTTTGGTGGGAAAGCTGTTGACTGGATAAGGGAGTATGAGATGAGGAGATTCATAACCTCGCGAACCTTGTGCGGTTTGTGCGCCAGAGCAAAGTACCACATCGCTTCACCATAACGATGAGAGTCGCGAGCGAGAATATCGGCATAAGTCTATACGAGCGGTTAGCGAGGAGGGTCTTTGTTGTGTGCCTTGACACCTGGTACTTACTTCGACCACCTCTTCGGCGTAAGAGATCATGCCGAGTTCGTTCAGGAGAGACCAAGTCTTGTCCACCACTTCGCCCGAGTCCACGTGCAAACTGTCGACAATATGCCTGACCAGGATTCCAATCATTTCCTCGGAACGCTCCTGCGAGTCCATACGGCCCAGTACGTGAATAGCTAGCTCCCAGCCGTCTCGAGACTCTCCCATATGGTCCGCGATCGTTCCGATATCCTCATCATCGGTCAGTTTTTGCGCGTACTGAATAAGCGTGCTGTCCTTGATTCCGTCAATCTCGTCCGGCGCGGTGGGGTCTACTCCAAGCACGTCCAGATCATCCTGATCGAGGCCCTCCATGAAGAACGCTCCTGGCTGGTGCTGTGGAAGCCATCCGCCCAATGAAGCAATCTCGGCGACCGCAGAGGCGATAGGAAGCGACCAGCCACGGAGCAGACCGATGAGACCCTTCACATTGTCCTCAAAAATACACGCAATTCCCACTTCCACAGGATTGTTGGGGTTCAAGTAGAAATCCTCCTCGACGGCCGCATGGAAGGCATTGTTCAGCCTATCCAAGTAACTGTCCGTGCTTGCTGACTGTGAGGCCAACGTGAGGGCTTGTGAGCGGGCCATTGTGAGCGGGTTTCCGAACTTATCGGCTCTCCTGTCATCCCACCAGGCAGTGAGACCGATCGTAGCCTCACACCAGTCTTGCGCAGCATCGAGGATAGCATGCTTTGAACCCAAGACAATGTCGAAGATGATGTTCAGCTTTTCGTAGATCTCCCATGGAACCTGAGACTCGGCCCGTCTCGCCAGACCGGCCATGGACTCGCGATTCCGCGTAGATGAGACTGAGGCCGAGAAGTCAGAGAACGTAGAGTCGCCTAGCGTGTTATCGCGACCCTCGGCGAAGCGCCTGAGGTGGTCAAGTGCACCCCGAGTCCGGACACGCCAGAGAGTCCAGTCACTGTTCCAAATGTCCCAGTTCTCATTATAACCGGGGCAGTTCTCCAACATAGCAACCGTTTCAGCCGTGGCAAGCTGCACACTCTCCAGGGCACGGTTTATGTACTTGTTTTCGCCGTTGTCTTTCTTAACTTTGTCCCACCCGGCTTGTCTAAGCAATCTGGCCGCCTTGTCCACCTTACCCCGAAGAAGGGCAACGAAGATAGCCTGCCAAAAGAGAGGGTGAGACGCCGGACTCGGCCTGTATCGTAGAATTTCCTCCGTCTGGCCGCTGTAAACGTTGTGGTACTCGTCTAACCACTTGAACAGTGTCTCAGGCAAGGGCGTAGGCCTAGTACGTCCCGTATTGTCTTCATACCGTTCGTGGTGGACATGTAGCGCGAGGTTGGCCAGGTAGGTCGCTTTCTCGAGTGGGGAAGTGTTGGGGCCGGGTCCAATCTCCACTGTGTGCTCTTCGTCGGGTTGGGGGAAGTCGCTGATGGCTCTCTTCCAAAGGTCAGTAAGTTCACCAGCGACATGCGCGAGCGCCTCGTCCAGCTTCTCCTCATCCTCTTCTTCGCCGACACCCTCGTCATACAGACGCGTAATAAGCCTCTCGGTATTGAGGATAAGCTCTCCGGGCTCGAAGAGGGAAGCAGTGCCCATGTGTGTATAGACGTCCTTGGCGAGGGCAGCGAATCTGAGATCGCGTATCCGGGGTCCAGACTGCGCAACCGAAGCGCGGAAGATACCCGCAGCTTCCTTCCGAACGCGCTCCGTCGCAGCTGGGGTGTTGAGCATCATCAGGTCGGAGTCGTCATCGCCCATTTCCAGGTCGCCGCCAGGGGCGCCGCTCATCAACATAGAGCTGTCGTCCAAGTCGTAGGTGTCGTCAAATGGCAGGCCAAATGTGCCTGACCGGTTAGCCTTGACTTCCTGCTGGTTCGTCTCCGTCTCATCTTCGTCGTCGTTATACATGACTGTCTGGCCAAGTCTCGATGGTTGGAGGGGTCCTCTCGTAGATGTGGTAGCGCCGGACCGCTTCTGCGCGCGCTGCTGAGCGAACAAGGGCTTTTGTGGGGTTGAAGCGAAAGGCGATCCGGAGGGGTTGAAAGAATTGGTGCTGGAATTCAGCGTTCCTCTTCCCGAGAAGGCCATGTTGGCGGGGATGATGGTAGGCGCGGAGGAGAGGGGCGGGCCGGCAGAAGTCGTGGGAGATGGTCGACCGTCAAGGTTGGGCGACGAGCTCCAACCGGTTGGGGTTTATGTTCCTGGTGCGGATGATGGGGTAGAGATGCCCGATATGTTGTCGCTGCTAGGACGGGTCAATGTCGGGACCCCTAAGATTGATTTGTTGGTTTAGGTAGGCGAATCGCTTTGTTGTCCTCCTCGCTGGAAGTTCGTCAATTCGACTATTTCAGTTTGATAGTCGCGAGCCGTTATGATTCGTCAAAAGCGCCAATGGTATGGCGCGCTGGATGGGATGACTTGGTCCACCTCAGTCTGTGATGATGTTGTTTCTCCGGATGCCGGTCGAGGGGTATGTGGTCGTGGTGATGATTGTGGGTGCTAAGGTATTCTGGTGCGGGCAACCTGAAATGTTGATCTTGGGAAGCTCCAACAAAGCGGGAGCTGTTACTGCGGGCCTCCAAGCCTGGCTCTCGCTGTTTGGCACCGACGCGACTTTTTTCTGGGGACACTGCGCGACGCGGCATCTTCCGGCAACCTTCACAATCAACTTCGGTAACTTACATACAATACGGATACAATACAACAAAACGATCACGTTTCATCGCAACCGTAACATTCACACAGGCCCACACGAACGGCGAGATGGAAGACTTTCAACTGCTACTCGTTCTGGGATATAAAAACACGACTCAATATCTCCTTATACTAATCCTTTCGCTACCTGCCATTGCCTCACTAAGCCTCGGGCAGCATGGCATGATTCTTGAAATACATGGCCACATTAGGATATACGTCTTGGATGATGACTTTGAAAAACAAACCAAAAAAATCAAAACGAAGAAAGAAAGACACGGGGGTTGAGATGTCTTCCTTCCAAGTGAATACTGGACGTAAAGCAAGGCTGAAGGTGTGATTACGTAGCCAGATCACAGATGGTCCCCGGATGGGTTCCTTGGATTCGCCTAAGCGCTCTGAGGAACCGATCCATCCTTCTCACCAAATCCCAACCCATCTTCGTCAATGTGAGAAAGTCCCAGCTTCTCAAATCCCGCAACTCCGCTGTCCGCCTCGTTGTAGCTGATGCCTAGGCCATTTTGCTTCTTTGCTGCCCCTCTTTCTTCGTCACCGGCATTGTCCTCACTCGTCTCTACCAAATGCATCAATGCTGGTGGTCTGTGAAGCATCGAGCGTGCCTTGGCGAGCGAGATGGTTTTCTGCTGGTATGTCGTCGTGATTGGTTGGGTATCATCGCGATCAATAGTCGCCTTCATGAGAGCCGCCATCCACAGGCGACCCTGCTTGATGTTGGGCACAGCAAAGTAGTGTACTGTGGGCTTTGTGAAGTTCACTGCTCGCGAGAGGCCGGCTCGTGGTGGAACAAGCTTGAAGATGAACATCTGATCCCCCTCTTCCGTTGGATCCCGCTCTGCGTCCGCGTCCGCGAGCGTCTGGACATGGCTTCCAGCCGGGATTGCTGGGGAGTTACTAGCCCCCATAAGCGTCGCGTGGAAGCCAGTCAGGCGTTCATTGTCCGCCGGGAGTACCCGATGGAAGGAAATGTCGATTAGACCTTTCTCCTCTTGATCGTCTTCAGAATAAAAGTACGCCAGGCGTCTACCCTTGAGAACAAAGAGTCGCGGCTTCCATGTGGTCATCAGGTTGGCACTCCTCTTCTTCATCCATCCACTGTAGTCCGCATCCTTGACCGCTTCTCGCGGGCTGATCTTTTGTAAGCCACGCGTATAAGCACTTGTCTCCTTCTTGGTCTTCTTCCGGTTTGCTGCTTGTTTTGCTGCAGAGGCCGCGGTTGCTACGGTGCTCAAACTCTTGGCAGTCTCCTGGTCGAGGTCAAAACTTCGGCCGGCCGAGGGCGTGGTCGAGCCGGTGCGTGTGGGCGAATGAATAGACGAATCTTTGGACGGTGTGTCCACCGGTGACGCCACTTTAGCTCGTTCGGTACCCGTGATCGCGTCTGAGGCGGCTCGTAGCCCGCCGAAGCCGTTCTTTAACATGCCGGCCATATTAAAGTCCGGGTGGTTGACTTGGCTCAGGCGTTTAAGAGCCGATCTTGGAGAGGATCTGTTTTGTTCTGGAGATCCTTCGAGTTTGGTAACCGTAGGGTGGTTGCCTTCCCTAGAAAGACGGGATTCCATGGTAGCCGTGGAAGCTGTGCGCCTAACCAACCCGTAGTATTTCTGTGCAGTGGGTAAGATGCCAACTGCTTCCCGGGAGGAATCAATGCTGCCTAACCGTGACTGTCTGGAAAGCGCCGTAGCGCTCCGCACACGCTGCTCTTCTGTGTAGCTCGTCTTTGGCGATTCCGCGAGACCAGGCACCTTGCTCTCACGCTTCTTCAATAAGTTCCGCTGCCGAGGATCAGCCTCGGTTCCTGAAAAGTAGCCTCGATCCAGGTCTACTGCTGAATCCTGGATCTCAGGCTCTTGAACAGCTAGACTATCTTGTTGCCCGATCGAGGACTGGGGGTGGTTAGAGTTGTTTGCACTGCCCAGCGTCCAGTTTCGGTCGAAAGACGGTTGCTTCTTGTGAGGCACCTCTGTTCCGTGCAACGTTCCACCCGAGACTTTAGGGGTGGCCGGGGATGCTCCTGCTAGACGGAAATCAGTCGAGGAATGGCGACGGGAGTGGTGCAAGTCTCTTATGTCTGCAGCGGAGGGTCTCCTTTCGTGGAACATACGATTTGGGCTCTCCATCAAAGGTGAGACTGGAGACACGGGCTGGACAGGGCCCATTTTGGGGGTTTCCGATGAGTGTTTCGTCTGGACTGACAGAGATTGGCTGGTGTTGGATGAGTACCTCAGAGTCGACCCTGTGATAGTCGACCCTGTGAGGGTGTTCGTCCTGCTGCGCATTTTTCCTTGTACATCAGACCCGACCTCGCTCCCATACGTCTGGCTGAGTACGCGCGAGCCTGGTCCCTGTCCGTTGACCTCATCCTGTAGGTTTTTAATCTTCTGCCAAGTTTTTAGCCGTCTGCCCACAGACCCCAGATCAAAGGCTTTGATGAAGACCGATGTTTGATCCATCCCGAGAATGACCTCTCCGGTGATCTCCTGGTCACGGAACACCTCACAGTGGTGCTTCTCCACTCCTACCGTAAACAAGTACTCGGCGACTTGATCAGCAGACCAGGATGCGACCTCGCTTCGTGAATGGTTTCCTTCTTCCTCCTCGTCTGTTTCTTCGCCTTGGATGTAAGAGACACGGTTGCCTATGTGCGAGCTATATTCGCTGCCAGAATCGCCGGTGTTTCGAAGAGCTCCGTTGCTTTGCGGCGAGTTCAGATCCGTAATATGCTCGTCGATGACATTCAAAGTCTCGTGTAGGACGTGGCTGTCAGTGCTAGCGCCGGGGCGTCCGATGCCTCCTGTTGGCAAACTACTGCTAAGAAACGAATTCGCAGGGCCGTCGGGTGCTGAAGCTGGCTTGAATGAGCTTAACGGTAAAGTTGCATCGGCCGAGTTCCCAATCTTGAAGTTGTCGTAAGAGTAAGTGGCGTTTGCTGTTTGCTCATTGACAATTTCGGCCAACGGCGAGAGAACGGGCTTTTGGAGGGACGGGCTGCTCGAATGGGGCTTGGGTGCAGGACGCGTATATACTGTAGGGCGAAGTTAGTTACAGCACGATACCTGAGGCTGTTTGCCATGCAGCTGTTTTGTGGCTTATACAGAGGAGGGGGTATATATACCTTCTGGGAAAAGACCACTGTTGCCATTTACCAAATGCTTTCCCAAGAACCAGCCGTCACCAAATTCGTCATCACGCTCGATCAGTTCCACGCGGTCACCCTTGGTTAAGGTCAACTCGTCCGAACTACGGGCATGAAAGTCGTCTGTGGAATCAGTGGGGTCAGCCTTTTATGTATCTCAAGTTTGCGACAGCGTCAACGCTACGTGGCGCCGTCTGTTGGATCGTTCGAAACACAGACAAGCCCCGAGGAAAAAAAGATGCCCCTTGATGAAGCTGCACTGTGTCAGGCTATGACTGGAAGAGAGAACGAACTTACGGATGACCACCAAAATGTCGCCCACTTCGGGCTTGTTGGAACCCGGCGCAGCCATCTTTAACCTTTAGTGACTGCTCAATTGCCGCACTCGTTTGTTGCGATACGGAAAGCGTAAGCGTCGACAAACAAAACCCCATCAAATGTTGTGCAGAGTGCGACTCGATGTCGATGTGGGTCGAAGCCAATCGGAGTGGACAATCGGAAGGTGAATTGAGGTCGAAGTCAAAAGTCCAAAGAGGTCGAGGCCATGCAAGAACTCTGGGTCGCAACAGGAAAGCACGATAGTCCAGATGTCGAACTTGTAATTGGTGGAAACGACAGCTTTGGCTTGTTGAAGAATTGGTCTTTTAGGAGCACTTGTCTCGTTCTATGTCCATCATTCGATCAACGTGATTGCTGAGAGGCCTTGAACGAGGGCGCAAGCGGTAGAGTAGGAGCTGTATGCAGGTCCCAGGTTTGCGCAAGTTGTGGCAGACGGGTATAACGAGAAAGATCGGATCAGGCTCGATGTTCCTTCAACCGGTCGCTGGCGGACAAGATTCCGAATCGTGGATTGGGCAAAGGCGTGTGCAATTCGTTACCGAGGCTGTTTTTCTTTGAAATGTACAGCAACGGCAAAAGTCTTGTGGGATCGGCGAGGTAAAATATGTGGACGGGGTCGTGATTGCGATAGTGATCGGGCGAGGCGGATATGGTGGTGAACAATATCAGGAGGCGGGTTGTCGTGCACCACAGGACGATGGCGACGGCGACGATAAAAGCGACAGCGACGGCGACGGGTAGCGGGCTCGAGGGACGGGGGAGGGCCCTAGGATGTCGTGTCTCGAGGAAGCGAGAAAAGATTAGAGCAAATAGGACAGCTAAGCGGATGCCCACAGAGCGTAACACAAGAGCGAAACCGTTGGCTATCGAGGCTCGAGTGGTTGCTTGGGCCAAAGTAAGCCAAAGTGTGGTTGAGGTCGAGATTGCGCGCCTCGCGATCGGGAAGGGAGGGAGCGTGGGAGGGTTGGCAGAAAGCGAGCTCGACAGAGCCTGGGTTCGAAAGGAACTTTGAAGCTGTTTGAGAAAAGGATGTCGTCGCAAGTTTGGGGTTCCAGGGAATGGAATGGTAGGCTGGAAAAAGTCACAATCACGCCTGGTCCTGGAGCCAGAGAATGGGCACGATGGGGTCGGCCGCCTTTGGGGGCGCCAATGAGGTGTCAATGAGGGCCAGACGAGCGGCCGGAATGCGATAGTGATTGGGCCGCTGGGCATCCACGGGGCGTGCTTGTCATGGATCACCTCACTCGTCCGTGTGGGATCGCTGACAGTTGTTGCGGGTAAAACCACCAGAGAGGAGTCTACAGAGTAGCGTTGCTCGCGTGGCTTTTCGTCCCGCCAGGCGGCACTGGAGACGGAGCGGCAGGTACAGCTTTCTTTACAGTTCACGATAGGTACTTGAAGAAGCAGCATCCCCTGTCAACGCAAAAAGGCTCCTTCTTTCCCCTTAATCCCGCCCATCATGTCCCACCATCTCCACCACTGACTTTGCCGGAGTTTCCAAGACCTCTTTCATGTATATACGCCAGGGCAAAGCAGCCCGAGTAATAAGTCAATTCCATACGGTAATCAGCGAAAGTGGCATCCCTTCAAACATGGGATTTTCCGCTATCCTCCTCCGTGGACGGAACTGCCGCTCGTGTACAAACTGACTCAAGTCCTCGTTTCCTATCAACGGGCACGACAATGCATCACATTGCATCAGGTTAGGTAGTAGTCACGGTAGTGTAGCATAGAGTCCGGCGCATAAGTAATCCGTCTGCACATCGAAGGTAACCCTGGGAGGGATCATAAGCGCCACCACCCACAACGATTGCCCACCAGGAATGCGAGGCATTGGAGGAGGGGTAGTGAACACCTTTTTTTTCGGTATGTCACTCTGGTGCAAGTCGCTTCGTTCAGTTTCATCTACAGTTGCGCCATTGAAGATGCAAACAACAGATTGCAAAACCGCGTTCGGGGTCTATAAATATGCCAATTGGACACTGTTCACATGTCTTTAACAGCAACATGCAGCGTGGATAGACCCGAAAACAACAACGTTCGGAAGGACGGGAGCACACACTGCACTCACTCAATTCCCCCGCAATGGGGTCTTTGTCCTGTTCAGTGGTCCGTGGCTCCCGGCGCCGGCGTCGGCTCTTCAACGTCACGCCTTGGCGGTCCCATCGCTTCTTACCTACCCGACCGTTTAACGGCCGCTGAGCCTCGGTAACTTTGACAACAACGTATCAGTCAACAACTACTCCCTATTTGCCTAGGTTACCACCATCAAGATGCAGCCCAAGATCTACTACAATCATCATTATAACTACTTGGAGCTTATTCTCATTCGACTTCTCACTTGAACACATACATACAGTTCTCGAATCATTCTTTTCTCATCCTCCCATCTAATCGTGTCACCTTTGCCCGTCGTGTCTCCCAATTCCGCAACCTACCTCAACCATCTTCCGGAATAACAACCACCCAAATCACCAAGATGTCGCAACAACAACCCCAACTCAAAGGATACACATCCTACAAGCACTTCAACGTGACCTCCGCCGGCCCCTCCTTCGTCGCCCACGTGGAGATCAACCGGCCGGCCAAGCTCAACGCCTTCTTCGAGGCCATGTGGCTGGAGTTGGGCCAGATCTTCCGGCAGCTGTCGTCGGACCCGGACGTGCGGGCCGTGGTCCTCTCGGGCGCCGGCGACCGGGGTTTCACGGCGGGTTTGGACATCCACGCGGCCAGCTCGAACGACCAGCTGCAGTCGGGCGACGCCCCCGACGTCGGGCGCAAGGCGGCCCAGCTGAGAAGATACATTACTGAGTTCCAGGATAGCATTTCGGCTATTGAGTTGTGCGAGAAACGTATGTATCAGATTGTCACTTTTCACTTTCTTCCGTAGTACATATAAGTCAAGTCAATAGTGAACTACTTAACCTCATCTGCTAACCTACCAAACCCTCCAAAGCCGTCATCGTCGTCCTCCACGCCATCTCCTTCGGCCTCGCCATCGACATCGCCTGCGCCTCCGACATCCGGCTCTGCACGCGTGACGTCCGGCTGGCCGTCAAGGAGGTCGACATCGGCTTGGCCGCCGACATTGGCACCCTTTCCCGGCTGCCCAAGGCCGTCGGCAACTTCTCGTGGGTGAAGGAGGTGTGCATGTCGGCGAGAGAGTTTGGCGCGGCCGAAGCCCAACAGGTCGGCTTCGTCAGCCACGTCCTCGACAGCAAGGCGGCTGCCCTGGACCAGGCGGTCAAGCTGGCGGGCTTGATCGCTGGAAAGAGCCCGATTGCTGTTCAGGGTACCAAGGAGTTGTTGAACCATGCTAGGGATCACTCGGTTTCTGAGAGTACGTTTCTCCTCTCTTGGTTTTTTCTTGGGGGGTTTTTTGCTCTCGTTATTATGAAGGTTAAACTGACGTTTTTTGATACAGGCTTGCGGTATACCACCGTCTGGAACTCGGCTGCTTTGCAATCAAGAGATATGATGGACGCGTTATCGGCTAGCGTGCAGAAGAAGAAGCCTGTCTTTTCGAAGCTTTGAAGGGGATCAAGCAGTTCGTCGCTGGTTGGTAACTGTTACGTAGTGTAGTGTTGAAGGTGTATAAATAAATCCACGTAATTCAGGGGGCTTCGGCGACTCCAAGTCACTATGCATCTCCTATTCACTAGACGACTCCTTAGTCACTATCTGCCAGCGGTTCCTCGGGCCTGTATGTTTCCTTCAGGCGCTGTTGTAGGTAGGGAAATGTCAGTAAAGGAATGTGATGTAAATCAGATATAAAATGTTGTTCAACGTGGCGGGGCAAGGGCCACACTGGACAAAGGCAAAGGAAAAACAACGAAACAACTTACGTCCTCGAGTTTCTGCTTGAGCAGTTGAACCATGTTTTCCTTAACAACCAGAGTCTGCTCATCCAGATCTTCGATGATGATATCATTGTTGACACTGTCCAAGTGAACGATGATGGACTTGATGGCTGGTTCGCATTGGATGAGCACACCTACACCATCAGAAACTGGGGTTAATATGATGAACATTTTTTTGCATCAGAGTCGTGCCATGATGTTGTTTTTGGGCCTTAGGATGGACTATTCGACGTGCAAGTCATTCATTTATATGGTGTCTCATGGGGGTTGGGACTGACCTCTGATTGCTCTCGGCATTTTGAATAGTTGTGGTGTCTGGGGTTGATGGGAAAATGTTCTGTTCTTTTTCTTTGGCCTTTTCGCTAATTGAGTTGGCTTCTTGGTGTATGTTCTGATAGCGATGCTGTCTGCAACGTGTTTTGGAATGTATCGGATCGTGTTGGTTGTTGGTCGTTGGTTGGGATATGGTTGGAATGTTGGCGGGGAAGAATTGGGTATGGTGCTGTGTAGTGAACTAAAATACAGCGTTTTGAGCGTACGAATTGTAGGGTAACCTTGCATTGAATGACAGCGACGCAGCGGCAGGCACGGACCCCTAAACTTACGGAATACGAAGCAGTACGCACCTGTTCAGGAAACTTACCTTACGCTTGCCCAGCAATGTACCTCTACCTGCTGCCCTTTCGCCAGATCAGATGAATGGATACTGAGGGCATCACAACCTCAACTTGAGACTCAATTTCAGGAGCAGTTCGTATGAATGCCCGTGATTCCCGCGTTCCCTTATCAACAAGTTTACCAGGATCAAGAAGGTAAAATGAGCTGACGTGTCTACATACTCGAATGAATCAGGGTGCACTTACAAAGGTTTGTGTGTACGCTGGTAAAAGTGAAGCCAGACGACTTGGAAGCAGTGAAGGAGTCCCCCTTGGATAAAAGGTTTTGGCTTGTTGGACGGACAAAACCGTCACCAGCACTGTTGGTGTTGGCACTCACGACGGCAGGATACTCGTCAGGTCTTCAAAACCGACCATCTGACTAGCGGGCGGGTAGTGACGAGTACTTCACAGATCTTAGCTACGAGCGAGCCTTCCCTTTTCTTTTTTCCTTCATCCATGAGTGCCTGGCTGGCCTGGATGATCACATTGGATCTTAATGGAGACCCCGAATGTGATCAATTTTCAGGCAATCACAGGCAAGGGGGATGATGGCATCTCCAAAAACGAATCTTGTAGTGTACGTACCACCCGACTCTCCCACTTTGTGACCGTTTCGGGACCTGGATGCTGCCAGGGATCGCTGGGCGGGAAGGCTTAACCGCTTGCAGTAAAGCACCCCACCTTTTCGCTTGAGAGTGCCAGCGTGGCCCTCGTGGGAGCGGAGATCGAATCTCAAACTCGTGCCAATCGCAAGCTCAGATTGGTGATAGTCTGGATCGGATATTGGGTGCGGATACCGAGTGGTCTCTAGACTGAGAGTTGAGAGTATTTCAGGAGGATCCAGGGAGCTGCGATGGAGACCAAGAAATATCTTTTCTGTCTAGGGAGCCCCAAAATCCCATTGTTTGCTCCTGGGTTGCGGCGGGGAGACCGAGATATTATGATGTCTTGGCTGACAATGATGAAAAGGTGCAGCAAACCAACATGCCGTGCCCGTTCGAAACATGTCGATATGACGAGGGCGATCAGAGGTGACTACGACTGCCGAGATGGCGGTTTCAGATTCTGTGCATCGGGACACTGCTCGATAACCGGTAGCGCCTTATTACACCAAACAGAAAAGTGCAAAGCGAAGACCCCGACGAACTGTTGAAAATGCAGCCGCAAACGAAGCTTCCATTCTTGAAGCTGGCGGTGCTTCCTTCCCTTGAGACCTGCTTTCTAAAGACAGTCTTCCGGAAGCGAGAAAGAGGCCAGGGCCAAGACATGCCTCACCATTGCACTTGCCGTTGCCGTACAATTGTCGTCTGGCTGCGGTCAATCCTACGGTGTAGTGATGCGGCAGTGAGAATGCACCTAGAAAATAAGGTTGGGCAGTTGGTGAAATGACTCCATCGACTGCAACCTCACTCAGGTGCTACCCTGCATCGCAGATCCCAGTATCCCCCGGCTTCACAAAAGACAAAAAGACCAGCGAAGCACTGTCACTGGACAGTTTCACGCACTAACACCGCAGCTCCCCATTGTTCAATTGCAGCTGCGCGGCCATTCAACGCCATCATCACATCCTCCATCCCTCATCTTACCTTTTTTCTCCCCGTCTCCAGCTCCCCCTCTTCCCTTCCTCGACTTGCCCAAACATCAAAACCAGCGCTGACCGACCCAGTCATGGTATCAACATCAACTTCATCTACCGTCAGATCGAGTAATGTCAGCGTTCCCGGTTCGTCTACGGCATCCCGCGTCACAACCTAGAAAGTACCGCCATTAGTACCACAGCACCGCACAGTACGGATTACAGCTACCCGAGACTACCTCGACCACGAACAGTCATGAATTGACTATGAAAGCACCTTCTTCCTTTCTACTACGTTGATATCCCCTGAGGGGATTTACCAACCGACAAAACTCTCACCGCATTTTCTCCCCGCTAGCATCTCGCCGACTTGAATCGAAATCAGAAATACGGCGCAAGCGAGCGAGCACAACTAGAGGCGCAAAGCAAACGACAGAACGACACTCCTTCGGCTATCACTCGCTCTGGAGCTGGAGTTGGAGCCGGAGCCTGAGCTGTCTCACCGACCCTTGAACGGAATTCTTCTCCAGCTTTTTCCGCAGCCCCTGCACCCCCTTTCGACCCCGCCAGTTTCGAACAAAGATATAGGCCAAGATGTCCTCAGGGTCAGGGTTCGGGGGCTTCTCCTCGGGAGTTACCGATGACGACGATGATAACAACCACCCTTGGGTCTGGGTTATGATCCCCGTCGGCCTCGTTATCGTCCTGGGCGGTCTAGCCCTCTGTCTTCACGTCCGCCGACGCAAACAATTCCGCGATAACCACAAGAGTTCTCGTCTCTCTACCCCGGCACGACGACCTTCCGCCCACCAAGCATCGACAAGCCACAGCCGTGACGGGCAGCTTCAGTTCGTAGTCCGTGAGGTCGATGCCCCTTCGTTGGCGTTGATCGAGCGTGATCTTCAGGAGTCTTGGGTGCGCGGGGCGCCGACACAGCGACATAACAATACTGGCTCAAGATCCGGAAGGTCGACGGCGATGAGGAGATGGGACTGGGCAGGTATCTTCAGACCTGAGGAAGGACTGAATGAACTGGGCGAGGCGCCGCCGCCGTATGAGAAGCAGCCGGTCACGAAAGAAGGTGGTGTGCCAAATCAGGATGCCGATCTTGAAACGGGAGGGAATAGTTACCATGGCTATGGAAACGGAACGCCGGCTGGTCCGGCAGGGTCCGCCGTCGGCGAGGGAACCAGCAGTGCTGCGCATGCCGGTGTAGAAATGCAAAACATGGCTCCTTGGAATTACCATGCGGGCACCTTCTCACCACAATCTCTATCGTCGGCGCCGTTCAGGTCACAGGCAAGTTTACAGCCACCCCCACCGGTACATTACTACCATCAGGGCGGATCTGGAATTCACAGCCAGAGCCACTTGAGTCACCTGAGCCAGCCAGGATATAGTAGTGTTGGCACCAGCCTGTTGAGCACCAGCTTGACCCAGAGCGCCGCGACCACTGCGCCGACGTCTCCAAGCATGACTAGATATCCCTCCCCCAGTCCGGGACACAGTGCCACCCACAGCCCGGCGCCCGAAATGACAGATCAAGATCAGGTACCACCACCTGCATACGAAGAGACGCCTCCCCTGTCGATAATGGGAACGGGGACCAACACTCCATCACCAGAAGAGCAGCTTGACGAACCTGCTGCTACGGATGTTGCTGCTGGTCCTTCTCATCTCCCCTCTCCCGCCGCCGCTCCCGTGCCAACCTCAGGGACAGCTTCTCCCTCCCCTCCATCTGGCCCATCATATGGGCCCTCTAACAATGGCAATAATCACGCCACCGTTACACATCGGTCCCCATCACCGTCTGCTGTGCCACCACCTTATTAAACCCTTTGAATTGGCTCCCTTCTTTATCGTCCCATCCCTTGAATTGACGGGTTTCATCAGCCCGGAACGGGCGTTGTGAGAAAACCATGTGGAACATCCTGAGGTTTCATCAACTCCGGCTTCTACAATCCCTTTATTGTCTTTGTCATTTCGTCTATTCTCATGTTTGAGAACGATCGATTGGCAAATCAGAGCGAGACACAGACACGGCTCGAAAGACACTACGAAACCGACCTTCAAAACGGATGTGATGGAAGGAACCAGTGGAGCGGAGCAGCTTAAAGGGGCGGACAAAATGCGAATGAGGAGATATGTTCACAGGGACACATGCATATGGCGGGACATGAGGGAGATGGGGCAGTTGAGGATGATGTAATGGGAAATGGTTACGAACCATGCATGACAAAGAAAAAAGGGCAAGAGGGAAGGGAAACGATCCATGGTAAAACAGAACCTCGATCACCTACTAATCTTGCCTGTCTCAAAAACCTAACTTACTAGTAATGTAATGAAATGACAACAAACAAAACACATAGCGATATCTTTAAAAAAAAAAAAAAAAAAATCAGAATGTACTACTGCTTGTCGATGCGAGGGTGAACTGTGTTCATGTAACGGGCAAACTCCATTATTCATCTAAATGCTGTCAACTTGTTCAAACGCTTAAGCGATCAAATATTTGAAGAAACAGGATAACCACGGCACCATTGAATACATTCTCTTTGCCGTGCCCGTAATACTAGCTGGATGAGTGCTCCTTCCGCAAAGCCGTCCATTGCTCCTTCCTCTGAGCCTTCCATCCCTCCACGCTCATTTTTACAACTGCCTGTTCCTCACCTCCCGTACTCTCCATTTGACTTCCCCCAAGCAATTTCAACTTTTCGTATCCTGAGATAACCTTGGGAACCAAGACCCCACTGAAGACGAACACATTCGCAATATTAGACTGGAAATGCTTTGAGCGGATATAAAGATAGCCAACAGAAAGACCCGCAAAAACAATGCTATGCCCGATACGTATGATGCGAATTTGAGTTTGCGTAATCTGAAGATGGACGTAAAAGAAGCCTTTTGACATCAAAACCCATGACGATCCATCCTTCCATCCAATGCATAGCAGAATGAATATACTAATAACGAAAAAAATGAACCCCAGGAAAACGTTTCGTACCTTACCTGATCTCCAGTATGGGAATATCCTTCACCACCATCACCTCCTTATCTACCACGGACCACCGGCCACTGACACCTATCACCCACCACCCACGGCACCGCCTTGCATTCATTGTCCGGTCCAAAAAAAACACTCCGCTTCTACCCGATTAAATCAAAAAAGCGAAACAAATGCCGTGAACTACTAACTTTTTTTTGCAAACAACTCTTCCTATGCTATCCATCATCTTAATCTGACCAATTCATCCATTCATCTTATCCACCTAACTGACTCATTAATCCTTCTTTTCATTTGCCTTCTTGTGCTCTTCCAGCGCATCAGCCAAAGCCTGCGTGGTCTTGGTGGTGAGCATCCAAGTCTCCAAACCCTTGCCATCGTCCGTCGCCGTGGTGATCTTGATGTTCTTGGGAGCCGCAGCATCGGGCTTGTAGGTGAAGTTGGGGAGGATGATCTTGTTGAGCGCGATATTGCCGCGGGGTTCGACACGCATCAGCATGCGCACCGCACCGGTATTCTTGTGCTTGAGCAGACGCAGGGGGCCAACTCCCTGCGTCTTCCACACGGAGGGCTTCTTCTTCTCCTTGGAGCCTTCGTCATCGTCATCGTCGTCGGGAGCAACGAGCTTATACGCCTTGGCACGAACTTCATACACGACGGACTCGTCCTCTTCCCCCGGGCCGCCTTCGACTAGCGAGATTTGCTCCTGTGGTGCCTCATCCCCGTCAGCGTGCGTTCCTTGAGCATCCTTGGACTCGGCGGCCACTGGCTCTGGTGTCCCCACAGCCGGCGTCGTGGCCAAGCTTGAAGCACCGCCGAAGGTTTTGGGGGAATCTAGTCGTTGCGGTCGATTAATGATAATTCACCGGCTAGAAACGTCGTCGCGGTCGAGGTCTCAACTTACCAGTACCTGTTGATGTCCCCCCTACGGGCGGCGCCAGGTTGAACATGGATCCACCCCCAGAGGGCTGTTGACCACCAAAGGCGAACATGTTGGAGCTGCCGTTTTGTTGTGTAGAGTCCTGGGCACCGCCAAAGGTGATGGATGGAGTGTTTTGACTGCTTTGTCCAAAGACAAACGGCGCAGAGGTGCCACCTGTCTGGCCAAAGGTAAACGATGACGAGGTGGGAGTAGCGGCGCCTCCAGTAGCAAAAGGATTGTTGATAGCAGCGCCATCATTGCCTCCAGCTGAGAATGTGAAAGAAGTGTTGGCTCCAAAGATGTTACCGTTCTGTTCGGGCTGGGAAGGCTGCGAAGCAGGGGTGACACCGAAGGAAAAGCTAGCGCTTGGCTGAGGTGTGTGCGCGGGAGAACCAGAGCCGAAGGTAAAGCTAGAAGTAGCAGCCGGAGCAGGTTGAGTAGTAGCCGGGGCCGCTGTGGACCCGAAGGTGAAGCTCGAAGAAGCAGAGACAGGTGCAGGAGCAAGGTTGCTGTTTCCGAAGATGGAAGCTGGCTTGGAGCTTTCAGGTTGACTACTGGTAGCACCAAACAAAGACTTGGAAGCTTCGGGCTGGCTGCTAGGGGCACCAAAGAGAGACTTTGAGGCTTCGGGCTGGCTAGTAGTCGCGCCAAACAGAGGCTTCGAGTCTGAGGGTGCGCTTGAGGTAGTCGCGTTGCCGAACAGACTCTTGGTCTCTGCAGGGGCGGTGGTACTGGTGTTGCCAAAAAGGCTCTTGGTCTCAGTAGCAGGAGTAGTAGCATTGCCGAACAGACTCTTAGTCTCCGTTGCGGGTGCGCTAGTGTTGCCGAAGAGGCTCTTGGTTTGAGTAGCAGGGGCCGCACTACCCGTACCGCCAAACAAGCTCTCGACTTCAGTGGCAGGAGCCGGAGTAGTGCTGCCGCCAAAGAGATTCTTAGTCTCAGCCGCAGGTGTAACGCCATTGGTAGTGCCAAAGAGGCTCTTAGTCTCAGGTTTGGCAGCATCGGCAGCGGGAGTGGTAGAGCCAAAGTTGAACATAGAGGCAGCTGGCTTGGCTTCAGTACTGCCGAACGCAACCTTCTTCGCCGCCGGCTCGTCTGCTCCAGAAGCAGGGGTTACGCTGCTGAACAAGCTGGGAGTGGCGGGCTTTGACGCGCTGGCCCCGAATAATGAGGAAGCCGGAGCTTGCGTCGTTTGCGTTTCAGCCGCCGCGGGCTTGCTGAACAGGCTGGCTGGTTGCATCTTTGGTGGTTCGCTGGCTGCCGGAGCACTGCCAAACAGCGTGTTTGACTGGAATACCGAGGGCTTGGAGGCTTCAGTCGTAGTCGACTCAGCAGGCTTAGCACCAAAAAGAGAGGAGGAGGGGGCTGGCGTGGTCTCCTTGGACTCCTGCTTATCCTTTGTTTGTCCGAAGAGGGGAGTGCTGGCGCCCGAGCTGAAGAGCGAGCTTGTAGCAGCAGGTGCTGGGGCCGAGGGTGCGGAAGTACCGAAGAGCGAGGGCGTGGTAGTGGGAGCATCAGTGGTCTTTGCTCCGAATGAGAACAACGAAGCCGAAGGCTTAGGGGCTTCGGCAACAGGCTCATCGGCCTTCTTGGAAGGAACGCCGAAAAGACTCTTGGGTTCCGAGTCCTGGGCGCCTTCCTTGCTGGGTGCGGGTTCCTCTGCCTTCTTGGCTGCGGGGGCTCCAAAGAGGTTGCTCGACGCAGCGGGCTTAGATGTCGCAGCCCCGAAGGGGTTGCTGGGGCCAGAGGAAAACTTGATGGGTGTCTCCGTGTTCCACGTGTTGTTGACCGGAGCAGGGGAAGAGGCTTGCTCCTGGATTGTGCTGAGTGGTCGGTCCTCCTTGAGGGTGGCAGAGAACAAGTCAGACTTGCCAGCTTGAGAAACGGGCTTGCGAATTGGTTGTCCGTCAGATCCTTTGGTGATACGATCGAAGATGCTGCGGCCCTGGAAGCTTCCTCCGGCGTCTGAGGAGGCACTAGATCCGCCATTCACCGCTGCCTGGCTTCCCAGCCCAAACTGAGGGGTAACAACACCAATGCTGGCAGACCCATCACGCTGAGCTTCGGGCTCATCCTCATCGTCGTCAACGTTGGAAGCGGTCTCGGCATCGCTATCCGCATCGGCATCATCGTTGCTGCTCTTGCTGTCGGAAAGATGACCAAAGATGTTGCCGGAGGAGGCAGGAGCCTTGGGACCAGTTTCAAACACAGATTTAGGCGCAGGTTTGGTCGTGGTGGCCTTGACGGTTGGCGTCTTGTTGACAATGCTCTCAAAGACAGACTTGGTGGCAGAGGACGCCTTGGTTGGGGTTCCCGAGGCCTTTTGCAGCTTGGCTGGCTGAACTTCGTCTGGCGATCCAACCGTCGAGGCCTTGCGCTTAGGCTTTTGCTTAATTGGCGAAGGGCTGGTCGGTTCTGGAGCACGCGGGCGCTTGTTACTAGCGGTGGTGGAAGCCTTTAGGGCGCCGTCAATTGGCGACAGTTCCTCTTCGGCCTTTCTCTTCGAGCCAGCCGGTGTCTTGAGATTCGAGAATGCGCTGGCTTCTTCCTCGGATTCCGCAATTCCATGCTTTTGCCTCCATTCCTTCTTGATTTCTTCCGAAGCCCTAACCGTCTTGAATTCGTACAAGCCGTACCGCAGCATAATCAAGCTACGGCTCTTCTCGTACTCCTTTGCAAAGTTTAGAATATTGATCTTCCAATCCTTCTTGGTGAATATCTCATCGGCGGCATACTTGAGTCGCCTCAAATCGAGGATGCAGAAAAACTGCTTTTTCTGTTGCTCATCGAGATCGGGCGGACAGTAGTGTGCCAAAAACTCGTCGGCATAAATGGAACCGGCCCTGTTGGGATCATCTGGGACTTCTTTAGCCAGCACCTCGCCGGTCAAGTGATGAGGAGGCTCAGGGATCCTCATCTTGAAAAGCTCCGTGTTGACCGGGACGGCACCAAGGAGCTCAGCGGTTGTACCGCGCGAAGTGCGACCGGGGGTGCTCTGGGGAAGGCTGCTCTTCAGGCCGCCAGGAACGATGCGAGGAGCAAAGGTCGTGCCGCTGGGCCGCTGGTAAAGGGAAGGAGTGCCAGAACGGAAGATGTTGCTCGGCGCTGTGCTCGTGCCAGTTCCAGAGAAGCTGGCTGCTTTGGCACCGTTTCCGTTGACAACCGGACCCTTGGCTCCATTTGTGAATGAAGGCGACTTGTAGGGGTTGTCGCCGGGCATCCTCCTCGTCGCGCCGGCCGCCGAAGCAGTATGGAATGTGATCTTCTTTTGCGGTGCCGATGACAGTTCTGTGAAGTCTGTGCTGGTGAAGGACTGGGCAAGCTTGCTGGACGGGCCCTGAGGGCGGCCGATGAGCTTGCGGGATGCCAACTGCGCATCGGACGCGCGCTTAGCAGGGCTTTCATGCGTTGCGCTGTTGAAGTCGATGCGCGGGACGGACTGGGCCTTGTTGATGCCATTCTGCTGGGGGGGTTCAGTCTTGGAATCAGAGTCGTCGGCGGGCGCAGAGGAGCCGCGGAAGAGATTGGTGGCCAGGCCAAAGATGCTACGCCTCTTGTTCGGTTGCGAATCCATGGCGACGAGACTGGGCGGTTCGCCGACCGGTATGTCGATGGACAAGGGCAGAGATGTGAGTTTTAGGGATAGGCGGGAGGCTGAGGCGGGCAGGTAGGTGGCGTGGCGGTGTTGATTATTCTAAAGCCGAGTCACAAAGACGGGATTATAAAAGGACCCGCTGTCGCTGTCGTGCATAAACAGGAACCCGCGATGGGTTTCGGCGCGTTTGTGGGCGCGTCGCAACGGACGAGGAAGCGAGGTGGACGGGATGCTGCTCGACGTGGTGGTTGAGGGTTTTGTGTGGGAACCTGGAAAGGCGTGGGAAATTTTTGGGGGTTGCGCGACAAGGCGGTCGGTGGTCTATTCTCAGCAACGGCGGCAGCGGGCGTGGCAGCGGTGGGAGCTCTCAGGGCTTCGGCTTGCCTTCAAACGGGAAAGGGTAGAAACACGCCGACCGTGACGGGTGAAGTCCGTGACCGATACTTTTACAGCAAGTTGCGACAGGGCTCGCGCGACCGTCAGAGGAGGAGTACCGTGTGGTGGAAGCTCGTCACAGCAGCGAAGGGACGAGGGCGGAGGGCGGAGGGCGGGCAGTATAAAGACCGACTTGGGCCTGTCAACAAAGAGCAAAATGGACGGCAATGATAGATATAAGTGGATGATGGATGCTGGCACGGAAATGGGATAAAATCGATGATAGTTGGTGTGTTTGTCCACAGGAACGTGAATGGGAGATGGACAACCCTGGTTACTTCTTGTTTCTTGATGGCGCCGTGGCGGACGACGGGACCGTGGGAAAAAAAACTGCAGTGTCTGTATAGAGCGGGAGGAGGTGTACGTAGGTCACGTCGCTATGTGCCAGCGACAAGGGCGACCAGCAGAAATCGTGGGTCAGTGGCCAGTGCCCTGGCGACCGCGAAAGTGTCAGATTGGGCGGGGGACTGGATTGTTTGGAGGGCGGGAACAGGAAAGCATGCCCGCTCTCACCGCGTTTGCATCCTTCGTGCACGGGCCACTCACCTCCAAAAGACGATGACTGCAGCGTTGCGCCAATGGACGTGCAATCCAATCGCGATTCTCTTGGCTTCTGTGCACGGACCCGGTTGTGGTTTCCTGGAACGTCTACTTCGAGTTGCGACAGGATTGATCTGACTGGATCACGATGCCTGCCGGCCACCATCGTGAGCCTCTCTGTCGCACCGCGCCTTTTTGGGCGTCCCTTTGCTGTGCAGAAGTCGAAAGAAGTCAATGGTTCCAACCTGTCTCGCCAGTCGCAACCCAGTCGCAACCAACCTGAAGCCACCGCGCACAAATCGCACCCATCCCTTCCAACGAACTCCTCGCAACCTTGTCTCTATGAATGGCTCACCAAGGCGACACAAGTGTCACGCGCCACACCTACAAGTCGTTGGACACGCTGCTGACAGCCCGCTCTCTCAGAATACCGGTACGAACTGGGTTCGGCTAACTACATTTCTCCTACCCATGCTGTCCGGGCCAGTTGCAAGTTCAACCTGGGTGGCATGTGGTTGACGATGAACGAGCACTGTCACATGTCAATGACAACATTGGACGATACGCGACTAATACTTGCTAAAGCCGTTGAGATGAAAGTTGCAGTTCTCAAAGCAGATGCGGACAGGTTGAACATCATGGTCCATTTCAAACTGAATTCAATTCTGTAGAGAGCCGCTGGCTATATCCAAAAGCTTCCCTTCCAGACGGGGGTATTTGTACAGCAACACGACACGAAACACACCGCACCTAACACCATCACCATCTCCATCTCCATCCCACCCAATCAGTACACGTTACAGATAGCCGACCATTGGCCCAAAACCAACCCACGATCATAAACCACAGCACCACTGCTTGTCTTCTTTGAACGACGAATATATCATGGTATCATTTCTGTTTTGTAAAAAAAAAATTCGACTCGCTTGCAAGTAAAATAAAGCAAGCATTTAGAGTTTGGCCTTGGTCTGAGCCTTCTTGAGGATGGGGTCGAGCTTAGTAGCCTTCATGACATCGCCCTTGACCTTGAGCTTGCCGGACATGAAGAGGCGCTGGGCGTTGGCCGTGCCGGCGACGAGGCCGGCAAAGTCGGCATCGGAAAGGGAGAGGGTGACTTTATATGAGCAATTACTGTTAGTCTCATCATTGCGAACAAAAAAGAACATACAGCATAGCCTGAAAAGGCGGATGGGCAAGTGGAAGGAAAACTAACCGGTGGGCTTGTCGCCAAGACCCTTGCCAACCTCGCCCTTGTTCTTGAGGTCAATGTGCCACTGGTCGGTCTCGCCGGCGGCGTTCTTGAGGACAAAGGCAAAGACGGCGTTGCCCTGCTTGATGGCGTCCTTGCGGTCGGCCTCGCTGCCGGTAAGGGCGCTGTTGATGGCGTCGAAGGCGGCGGAGGAAGGGAACTTGTCTAAATCGTTACACGGCCACGGTCAGCACTGGTCGGTTCGAGGAACACATGGAAAGGTATTGCGCCATCACCGCGGGCGCAACAGGGGCGCAAAATATGGCAGCGGGTTCGGTCCATGGGTAAAAGACGTACCGTTCTTGAGAGACATTTTGAAAGATTTTTGGGGGTGGATTAGATTAGATATGTAGAGGTGAAGTGAGCGACGATGGAACTGGGTATATGGATAGAGGATGATGTGAACGTGACGGTACGGATGAAACGGGATGACAGCAAAGGGGGAAATGGGGAGGGCGACACTTTATAAACCACCACAAGAGATGACAAGGGTTCCCCACGGGCAGACCTCGAGAGAATGTCAACCTCTCACGAGCAGGCGGCTTACGGGACAAGCTACGGGGTTACCACAACGAATACAGCTACTCGATTAAGCAAGCGGCTGCGCAAATCACCTGGGGAATTGGATCTGGCGTGAGTTTCATAAATCATCTTGGTTCTTTGGCGTCGACCTTCCACGGCTTCTCTGTTGGATGCGATGACGCTTGTCCTGTGACGGGAGGCAATGCACCGAGGTACCGTACGTTTCACATGCGGAGAGATGGCGTGCCCAGGAAGCTCGGTCGACGCCCGTTGCCGACTGGACGCTTGGTCCCGTCGACAGCGGATGCCAGCCGGGAATGTCTCCAACGTCTACCCCACCTGCACATATCCCGTCGCATCTGTATCGCATCTTTAGCATCTTTCACTTGATCGATTCAGAAAGAACATCAGACACCGACCACAATGTACGATTCCCGCGTGCAGACGCGCTTTTATACATGCCAGGGCAAGCTGTTCCCTACATAGGTATATGCATGCTGACATCGAATGTCAATTCTTCAAGGGCATCTGTTCCAAATGCGAGTGTCCCTGCAACTACAAATTGGAGAATCACCCATTCGAGATACGACTGTAGTAATCATGGTCTCGGCTGTACCAACGAAAAAACAAGAACAAAACAAATCATTCCACTGACATCCTCGATGAAACTTCTACACTCCGGTCTTTTTATTTCAACCCAACTGCAAGAATACACAACTCAACAGCACAACAGCCCCGAAATTGAGCCATGAGACTGCAGCACTACTCCCGGCATCTGGCTCTCCAATCTCAATATCACCACGACCACTTCCGCCGTGAGCGCCGTGAGCGCCGCTACCAGACCCTTTGTCCCGACCAAGGTCCCGACCAAGTTCCCCTGTTGTCAAATATGCTGCTATCGCCCCTCCCCTACCTCCTTTGAACGCCTCCTGCCTGATTGTCGTCTCCGATTCAATCCAGAGTCAAGTCCAGCATCGTACATCATGTTTCGGGTTGATTTCGTGCTAATCGAATACCAACTTATGTTCAATGCGCCGCTAATAAACACCATATTCATTTGACACACCCCAGACGTCTCGTCACAATTGGGGCCGTGCCACTTGTTGTTGTTCATGGCATTGTAGGAGGCCCAAAGAGCAGATCCGTGGATGACCACATTGTTGCTGTCAACCAAGCGCTGACCGTAGGCACGGTAACACCTGTCGTTGTCGTTGCTGTACCGATGAGAAGTGCAAAGACCAAAGGATGGGTCACCATATGATGAATTGGCTACCCAGGGCGCCGGCGCTCGCTGCTGAGTCCCATTGCCTTGCCAGTACGGGCTCTCGGCCTGCTGGAGACCGATATAGACGTCGGAGGCGCGATTCAGGTTGTACTGATAAAGGGTACAGCGTTGAAACGAGGTCCCAATCAGCCAACTTGGCGAAGTGCTTTCGAGGAGGAGACCGCGACCGGCCGCAATGTTCAGGGGTTTCGATGATGCGTCGTCCAAACCGCGGTCTGCCACGTAACCCCAAACGTTCTCAAGGTAGACAGAGGCTGTCTGGGTTACATGTATCAGTGCGAATGCCGCCTTGCAAGCCTTGGGATTGGGATCCCGACACTTCTTGTCAAGAACCACAGAGCGTCCGAGCCGCCGACACGTATAACGCAGTTCCAAAAGCCGACATCACCGGGAGTTCTGGCCTCGGTGTTGACTTTGACAATGACCGCTCCGGGAACACATCACCGACCGAAAACAACATGTCGGTGAACTGGGCAACTCCCCTATCGCCTTCCTTGCCTACTTCTAGAATGGGCTTTGGGTCGGAGGGATCTGAAAAATGATCGCCCCAGCCGGCGATCACGCTCAACGCCTCCCCAACGAGTCGCGAGCCTGGCGGTACGTGAATTGTCTGATGGGTCTTGTAGATCCCTTGAGGGAAAAACAATATCTTGCAGCCAGCGTATTTCTGGAGTAAGCTGTTGATTGCGGGTCCATCATCATGGATATCTAACGTCGTGTGAGCAACCAAGTCAGAAGCACCCAGATGTTACTAAGCAAGAAGCGGTCGACTTACTGTCCCCCCACACAACAAAGAACTCGGGCTCGTTTTTTACGTTCACAAACTGACTGACGTTATAGTTTTCATATTGTGGAATGGGCGTTGTAAAGTACCTCCCGCCAGGCGTCAGCTTTTCGTGCCTGTGAATAGGATGGCTAACGCTGGGGACTCTGTCCAGGTCAGCATGTGATGGAAAGGAGAAAATCCCCGCGGTGATTTTGCGTTTGGAAAGGAGAAGCTCCTTTATGAGTATGTATGTAGTATCTATGGGAGTGTCGGCGCAGAGTCATGGCTTCAAATGCGAAAGACTGGATCCACAAGGGCGAATACTAACGCTTTCCTTGTATCCATGTTACATCTCGAGATTTCAAATCCGACAGCAGGGTAGAGCCACCAGACCCGATGACTGCAGCCTTCACGTTGTCACCCTCAACGGCGACGTTGTGAAGTACAAGCGGACTAACACCGGATGGGATAGTGCCATTGGTGTAGACGTCAACTCCATACTCGCAATTGAAGAAGGACGAATCGACAACGGACAAAGTTCCCGTGCTATCAGGCAGACTGGCATCAACGGCCACCGCACACTCAGAGAAGGTACAACCCTGGATGACGGTGACGAAGGATCGTTTGAACTTGATACCCGTGTGGCAGCCGTCAAACTTCAGCCCTTTTAGCATGTACTGCTCGTTGAACACTTCCATGTCGACTGCTCCGCCGGTGAAGGTCTGCCGCGGTCAGTCGGTTAGCCAGCCAGTCATCGAAAACGAAATAAAACTTGAACCAGCAGCACCGAGGGGGAAGGAATGGAAACAGAAACCAAAACAACAAACTCACACAATCAGCGATAACCAACCCACTACCACCCCTTTCCATCGTCAACCCAGTGTGTTTCGACCCCTTGGGCATCACAAACTGCACGTTCACAAGGCTACATCCTTGGTCTACCGACCAATCCATCGCTCTCGCGCCCGTGTCATTTTCCACCGCCGTGGTATCGATCTTGAAGTTGCGCACCACTATGTAAAGGCTCTTCACCGTCCTCTCTCCTTCCCATAGGTGGTCATCATGCGCATCAATCACAGGATCAGTACCCAGCGACGGGTCAGCGAGCAAGGTGGGCGGTTCCAGGGCGTCACCGATGAGAAAGGTTCCCGCGAGAAGCTTTATGGGTTTGGCGATGCGGTAGGTTCCCGGAGGCACGTAAAAACATCTGTTGACTTTTGCTGCCGTCTTGTCGGATCGGTTTTAAACTGTTTGTTTGTGTCAGACTGGAATAACTTTTGCTGTGGTATGGTTCATATGGAAGCAATGCGGGTATGGTATGCTAGGAACTCACAGTGGATATACTCGTTGAAGAGCCACGAGGAGTCGTTGGTGCCGGTGTTGTCTGCTCCGAGCTCCGTCACATCAAAATAGTGTTGGTGGCTATCGTATCCAACATTTTCTTCGATCTGGGCTCGCCACCACTTCTTTGGGTGTAAGGGAATCAGCGGTTTCTCGCATGCCGGTTGTTCTCCGATGTTTGTAAGGTCTGATCCTGATGCCAAGGGCGTTTCAACACTATGTTGATCTGAGTGGACATTTGCTGTTATGGCTGACGATACAGTGACTGGAAGGAGGAAGAATAGCCACGCCACTGTCGGCAAAACGGTGGTAGGTTTCATCTTGATAGTGTCGTGATAAGTATTTCTGTACCGTAAGGCATATACTCTGCGAAGAATATCGTGATGCACCACACATCTGTCAAAGTTGATGTTTGAGGTCGCGAACTTTGCTGGAGCATCTTGAGTACCTTAACGAACGTAGGCTTATATTTATCATACAAGGTGCGGCAATCTCGGTGTGCTACCTTCCACTCAGGCACGGTTGCAAGCAGGGACCGGCTGTTGGGCGTTCTTTCCCTCAGGTTTTTCCTATCCAGATGAAAATTGCGAACCTCAGTATCTGGAGAAAAGGGCAGGTCCGATCTGCTTGGTCATTGACTGCGAAGGCAGCTTGGCTTTAGGTATAGAATCGACTGAAGGTTTTAAGGAAGCCATCATCAGGGTGGTCTGTTATCATGACAGGTATCACTTGCATGACCTTCAACACATTGATATCAGGACATGTACCTATTCGTAGCTTCTTTAGTAGTTACACCATTTTATAGTCATGACCGGTTTAAACTTCAAAAGCAATGGCATCCAAACTCGGCAAGAACTGGTGTATGAAGGATGGTATTGCCACTGACACAATAGGCAGTTTCATACAACTACACCATCAACTTCCACAAAAAAAATAAAATTAAAGAACAGGTATCGACTCTGCTACCAAGATGAAAAAAAGGATGAAGATTAGGATCGAGAGATGTGCCGGGGAAAAAAATCAAAAAATAAGTTACTAATGGTCATCGTGCGACGTGGGCCTGATTCGAACAGACGCTCCCGAAGGAACAAGATTTCTAGTCTTGCGCATTAGACCACTCTGCCACCACGCCTAGTAATTGTTGTTGAATTTTCGCTTCGGAACTACAATCTATCAGCGGGCCGCAGTTGCTGCGAGTAGAACAGGATAGGAACTCAAGCCTGCGTGGGCAGCATGGTACTGGCCCAATCCTTTCGAGCGTTCCTGATAGGCAGCGAAAGAAAGAAGTCGATGACACGATTACAAATGTTCCGACTAGGGCTTGACTGCTGAGTTTGAGATTTGAGTGCGCGATCCGTAGAGGTATTGACGCATCAAAGGTCGTCCGATGCATGGATCGGGAGGGGTTGCGCGGCGGGCGCGGGGTAGGATTGAGGTAAGGAGAGCAAGTCGCTTGCAGCAACGGATGAGATGAGTTGAGAGGAAAGCTCGAGCTGAAGCCAAACTGAAGAGATTCAAATTGACGCCGCAATGGGAGAAGATGTTTCAAGAATTGAAAGAGCGTGAAAGAGCGGGATGTGGTGAGGAAGGTGGTGCGTTGATTGTCGGTTGATCGGCGTATGCAGGAGAGATCAAGGGCGGGCTCGGCGAACGCAGCGCAACGTCCGCTGCCCGCGCGGTTACATCATCAGCCATGCATTGACAGATGTAGGGAGTTTGGCAACTCAGGACAAAGATACGATTCGCACTTTCTTTGGTCTCCAGAGGGCCATCGCAGCAAAATCGTGAGAATGGAGAAACGTTCATCGCGATCGCGGGTTTCTAGCACGAAACATGATCTGGTTCTACTCGGGAACAATCCGCGGCTTCGCAGAACAATAAGCATTGTTCAAAATGCTGATATAGACCCTAAATTTGTGCCCATCTTCAACAACAATCACTAGGCGTGGTGGCAGAGTGGTCTAATGCGCAAGACTAGAAATCTTGTTCCTTCGGGAGCGTCTGTTCGAATCAGGCCCACGTCGCACGAATGACCATCGATAAATTTTTTCTTTCTTTTTACTCCGTGCTTTGTCTAAACATTCTTGTGCTGGACATCCCCCTTCATTTTTCGCAATTTTTCTCCAGCGTTTCCTCGACATGAATATATTGGCGCTATGTATGGTTCTTTGCTACTCTCTCTATTCAGGTATCATGTTACATCCTTTAGACACCATAATCATTGTCTATCAGTTGATCATGCATAGTCGAAACAGTTCTTGTTAACATCTTTAACGCCGACCTTCATTCAAGACACTGATGAAATTATCAATCAACGTCACGGGCTCAGCTTATTTTCCAAAACCTACTTGTTGATCGCTGACAAATATTCCAGTCCCTACCTAGCTACCGGCAAACTGCGAAGTGCGTTCTGATAGAGCTCGGAGTCTCTGATTTCCCGTGCTCCTACCAAGTAGGCATATATCCCGACCTCGCCTTGCTGACAGCTTCATAGAAATTCTTCGAATCCATTTCTCATTCAACCGGAGATTTTCATGACTTACTGGACTGAGAGAAGAGACAAGAGACCAACCTATGGCAGAGGTCTCTAGGTCAGTCAAGCACTTCCTCTACATTCATACCACAACCTCTCTCTAGGCCTATGTACTGTCTGGTACTCCGAGGCCGAAAGTTGAATATGTTCGTTGAGAGAAAGTCGTCAAACATTACTGACCATCCTCACTAGCCGCGCCCAAATCGAACGATAGATGATCATCTTCATCATGCCATACCCCCACGCCGCATGAATCTTCAGTCTACACAGCACCATAGACATGACAGCGACGGTGATCGCTTCATCAAAGACGTATCAGGTTCGGGTAAAGTACATGATCTTTCACTTGGGGTACGCAACACTACCTACCGTCACCGTTACCGTTACTGTTACCGTCGATTACTGTTACCGTAACGGTCCGGTTCTCGTATACAGGTAGGTACACATCTTACTACACACATATATGTGACCTGCGTGCATATGTAAGTACATATGTATGTACATCCATCTTATGCTATTACTTACCTGCATACCTACATGCACTCATGCAATGCATCCTTCCTGCGGATGTAAGATCTACTAGAACTCCATCTTTCCACCCATTCTAAGAGACAGGTGCCAACACAGCTTTCGTTTTGTGCAACCTGGCTTCTTTGGTCTGAAATATGTGAGTGTGACCTTGCAGCATTGCCCGTACCCAACTCACAAAATTTAGGTACCGCGATAAGCGCGCCTGGGCTGTAGTGCTGGTACGAGGAGTATGTAAGAAATCTCGTAGGCAAGTAAGATATTATGTGACTTTGCGACTTGTGTGTAACCATTCCCGGTTCTGGAAGTCTGAGGACCTGGGGAAGGCTAGAGATGTACCGATTGTCGATTACTGAAAGCATCACTAATTTTGTAAAGGCGATGTTTCAAGACAAGGTAATGCACTTTGCGATGCACTTGGGTTCGTGTCGAGTAGGTCTGTGGAAGCCGAAATATCATCCGTCCGGTTTCATATTGCCTTTTTTTTTTTTTTTTTTGCTTTGCATGGTACCTTGCTTTGGGGTTTCGACTGCGGATCGGCTACATGCAGGCAGCAGGATGGAAGCGCAGGGAGATGCGAGTTGCTGTCAGGCTGGGAGAGTTTAGTATGGGATACGGTGATAGGATGAATTGAGATGAATAATGAATATTAAGGTAGTGTTCGAAAGACTTGGTGTTTTGTGCAGAGGTATGTGGTCTCAGCAAGGTCAAAACCGCCCCCAACATTATGTGTTTGAACAAAGAAGTGTCAGTAAATAATTTCGATAGTCGTAGGTAGACAATTTTCGGTATCAGAAAAACCAAAAACGTCAAAAGGACTATTGTAATCAACCATCCCAGCCCTGCCAGGCTGCTCGATTCTCTCAAATCTCAACAGTCGAAAGACAGCTTGCCAAGGCCGAGCTGAGTAGAGCTGAACCGTAACCCCCAATCAGGCAGCCAGGAAACGAGGGTAAGGCGAGCCAGCGATCAGCGGCCCTCACATTTGAGCCGCATGCCATACAGTGCATTTGTCTGTATCAGACTCGGTAAGTCATGGGTATGGTTTCACTGACACAAGCAACGGTCCGTCCTCGCGTGTGACAAATCGGGACGGTAAGGTTGACTTGACTTGACCGTCGAGCGCCATGTAGGCGCATGCTATGTAGTTAAGGTGTCGAGGGTGTATAGCAACCCCGGACGGAAAGTTGGTGATACCGTTATGTGATCGACCCTGGGCTTGTGAAAGAGGCAGTGAGACATCTGTCTCGCTTATGATGTACTTGTAGGTGCTGTTTGGGACGGGAGTGAAATATATACCTAATTACCGTGTTGGATGCAGGCAATTGAGATGCCGTAAGGCACAATAGCGGACGGAAAGCGGAAGAATATCCGGGTGCTACCTTTGATCTCCTAAGATGTAGTAGTGGAATGCGAAAGAGTGTAATGGAGAAAAGTGAAGAGTGACATGGTAAGCAACGGGATGGCGTGACTCGATCACGCACCTCATTGCATTGTCACCGATGACTTGAGATTCCCTCCTTACGGATATCTTCCCGATACCTAACAGTGCGTGTAAGTGACAGTCCCGGGATGTCGGATGTCCCGCCGGGAGAACTTGACAGGAAAAAAAAAAGACGGGACCTTCCGGGTGGCATGGTTGGATGGGATGACGCATGTAGCTTCTTTGCCATATGTAAAACCAAAAATATGACAATTGGGGTGCAGTTCATGGATGTGGGCAGATGCGCGGCACAACACCCAACCACATCCAACACAGAAACGTGCAGTAAACGCAGCCGCGCCCACAGCAAGATCTACTGCATCCATGTGGGCGATGTGTTTCAACACCGGTGCGTGAGTACTTTGTAGATTATGAGTGCCGCCGCAGTGAGCCAGTCCGATTGGCAGTTGAACAACTCAGACTCTTTTGTGTATTCCGTACGTTAAAGGAAGTTTCCCCGGATGATATGGAATATCGTAAGGCTTGTGGTTGGTGACCTCTCTTGTGTACCTTTGAAACGGACGACCGTTCGGTTCATCGTCATGTAACAAGGGTGCGGTACATCAGCCTAATATTGGTTGTTATGTAAGGTACGTTCTGTAGGTACCTGATAGTGAGGGTAACATTGATGGAATGGCCGCTTACATTGCTAGGTAATCAATCTGGCATGTCCGACGTGGACTCGAGTTCGAAAGGCACATCATGGGAGCATCCGGATAACCTCCGTCTGCGGGCAGATGTTACGGAGGCGCAACTGCCTTGAAGAGCGACCGAGTAGGAAGTTTTGGCGAAGTTTTCTTCAAGTGACTGTAATGTGAGTCCTCAAGCCCCGTGCAGGAGAATTATCATTACCTGCTTGGTTGATGCCTGGTAGACTTTGAGGGTAAAGTTGGCGATCTCGTTGACCCCCATGTGAGGCTGAAGACAAAGCTGGACATCAATGGTGAAAATTACTAAGCTTAAGATCGTGCCAGCGGGATGATGTTCCGCAGAAGGCACGTCGAAGACGGCGTTTGTCACCAGAACATTAGTAAACCCGGTGCAGTGGTGCAGCCATGGTAGCTTCCAGATGGATGGGATCTGAAGGGGTGCGCATGGGGACCATGTGGCTGCCACGCACGCAATCTGACGATGACAAAAAGGCAGTTTGGGATGGTGGTGTTGTGTGGTATGGAAGTATGGAATTTCAAGATTGGTGTCGTGGTCAGGAACATGTCGAGCATGTCAACGTGAGAAAAAAGTGTGTGTGGGCTAGGGAACAACGGAGAGGGTGTGGTCGTTGTTGTGGTGTTCATCGGGTGTCGGTCGGGTGTCCTGCCCGCAGCATCACATCATCCCAATTCGGGACCCCTGGATTCCAGAAAAAGGGTTGGAAGCGCCCGATATCATCCAATCAGAATACAGGTTTTACAGGAGGGGTATTTATGGGCCCCACCACTGCCCACCACGACCCACCAGACTGGTCTCCCACTTTCCCAAAACGCAACCCATGAAAAGCTTGGCATCCCAGAAACGGACCCAAGATTTCTCCTTGGCAGCCGTGAGCCCCACTGAACGGGAAGATTAACTGGCGGAACTAATTTTTTGGTGGGTCTTGTAGCTTAAACAGGCGAGGTATAAGCCACAGGCTCTGTACCTTTGTTAACAAAGGTACCTATTTTTACCAGTTGCCGTTTGAATACCGAAACCACCAACGACCCAGGCAACATCATTATCAGAGAAATCAGTTGGTTCAACCGAAACACTAACTCGACGATCCGAATACCGAATGACGGCTGTCTGTGTGTGACATCGTGCAACTTCACATTAAGCGCCTAAGCGCGCAAGGCGTTTTTCGCAGTTGGTTGTCTTGGTCTGATTGAAGCGCCAACAAGCTCGTACCATCGTGTACATTAGTGATGACCGTTATGATGATCGATAATTCGTAGACTAATCACGATGAACTTAGTCCCGGCGATAAGTTTGGGAGGCTCTGAAAGACCACAAGCTACGATACGGATCCCGAAGGTGCAAGTGCTCGGCAGGGGAACGAAGCAACCAGGCGACTTGCAGGGGTCATGTTTACGGCACGGTAACGAGAGAGAGTAAACATCAGCCAAGCTGCGAATACCGTATTGGGACACAACTTTCAACTGTCGCTATTTTGAAATTTCAACCACTTGCAGCATCATGAAGTTAAGTCCCCGAATACTTTCAATGGTTTCGGATGCATCATATTGCTATGAATAGGTGGTGACATCTATCTGTCTATACCCTGAATGCTGTTGCTATGCTTCTAACCAAGTAACACCAAAAAGCTCCCCATAGGAACCTGCCAGGGGCAGCTAAGCCTAGTACCAGACTAGCTTGAGATATCGTAACCGGAGAAAAGGAAATCCATCAAGGGGCCGTTCGCTGTGAGCAACGTGGCCATGAAGCACGCAGTGCTATCCCATTGACCATATCCTGTCCCTTGACCGGTCCAACCATTTGTGTCCCATCGCTACTTCCAGCGCAGAGATGAGGACAAAAAATGAAATTGAGACACTGGTAGCACAATGTATGGAAATTGAACTGAAGGAAAACTGCAACTGGAAAAGGAAGACTGAAGAAAGCAAGAATGTAGTACAGAAATCTGAACTAGAAACACAAACCTGAACCCCTTTTCCCACCCCAAAACCAAAAGTTGACATTCCAAAACGCCTGGTATCGTACCCCGTATGCATCGAACCATGCAACCCTAGCCCTCGGGGTATCGAGAGTTGTGAAACAAGAAGTGTAAATAAAAGAAACGTGAGCAAAACTGAAGCTCAAGGTGAACCGTTCCGTCGTCTGAAGATGTCGTCGTGTGTTGTTGTACAATTTATCGTTATGCCCGCTCGATCGCAATGCAGAAGCCATCGTCCATGCCGTGCCTTCCCACATCCCGCACAAATATTCGAACCGAGTGACAGAATATGAAAGGGAGTCTTCGACATGATTCCAAACCCGAGGGAGCGATCCTGCGGTAGGAGGGAGTTCACTGGCTCAATGAGCCATAGGCCCAATTTTTCCGTCTCCGACAATGGACTTGCTAATTTTTCGGGAGCTGGCTGCATCCTTCCAGGTTGAAAAACGGGGCGGTCGATCTTATGACGAGCAAGGGGTCACCTAGTGTCTTTTGGCGCTGGTAAAGACCTCTGACTACGATGAACCCGGAAGAGAAGAGAGAGCTGGGATGGTAAACCGGCTGATCCACCTCCGAATGAAAAGATGTATGAGACCCATTCCGCAAATTCGAAGTGTTTGAGCACGGGTGGATGCCGTGGACAGCTGCAGCCCAGTGCCAGAGACACGATTCCTCATCGGTAATGGCCACGGGAGGAGGACTTGGGTGAGTGGCTTGACGAGTAGCCAGAGTCGGATGCGCCGTAGGAATATCCGCTACGGCCCGCGTGAATGCCGCAAGAGTGTCCCACCAAAACCTCCTTCTTATGAGGACGATGGCCGGGCTGCCCATATGCCGCGCACCGATCAACGGCATGCTGGTAGTAGAGGCACTTGCACACCGCGTAAAGTTCGACCACCTGATAGCACATGGTTGCTAATCTTTTCCCGATGTTTCTGAGCTTTGTTGTGGTTGATGGATGTTGGGAGTGTGTTCTCAGGGCCGCGGCCGAGATAGTGGATAGTCAGTTGGTTGGTAGCGGCAAGGTAGTTGTTGTAGTAAGAGGCTTGACTTATATACCGGGGAGTATGAGCCGAGGCCGGAAGAGGTGGAGATTGCAAAGTTCCAAATAGGCGAGATACCGTGAGGCAAGGAGTCTATAACTGAGAGACAGAGGCAGACTCGAGGAAACAGTAAAGTGGAAGCGACTGTTGATTAAGGAACCGAAGCCTTGACTGATGATATAATGAAAACGGTGTTTGATATCGAACATGCCAACCAACACCATGAAGGAGGGCATTCCGGCGGCCTTATAACACTTGATGTTTTGGCAGCCTGGCAAGGTATGTAGTGTGCCTTCTTCATGTCAACGGTACTGGACAGAGAAGTGACTGGGGAGCCATCTGCGGCGTGAAGGCAGCAATGACGCCAGAGACCGCCGGGGAGACTATGTGACTGTGGAAGGTTCTCACCTCGACGGCACTTGGTCGTCTACTTGGTGACAACCTGAGGTGACAACGGTACCGGGTTGGGGGTAAGGTACCTTGCACCTGGGCTCCGTCTCCGTACCTGGCTCCGTACATGACGGGCAGCGCGGTAACGGGTGTCGAAGCTAGTGCGAACGAAGGTGGGGTGTGCCTGAGAGCTGGGAGAGGGCACAGACAGCCATTGGATCTCTGGGTTTAGATCCTGAGCGTTGAAGGCGCAGCCGCAGACGGAAGGTAATGGTGTTTGGAGGTTGAAGCAGGGACAGATGGACAGAGTCCCAATGAGAATGAAAGGAAAGTCGAAGAGCTTCGCCGGGATCGAGGTTGCATTGATTACGGACAAGGGTGGAACCAGTGCACGGTAGGGTGGAAACCGTTTCCGCGGGAGTTCTGTATCTTACACGTACCTGCCCGTAATTTGGGTACCTAACAACGAGCGGACAGGGGACAGCAAGTAAGGTATAGGGCAAGGGCAAGGGCCCCCGTGGGCAATGTTACCTCCACGGGCTGTTGTCCAGGGGACTGTCTCCCAAAAAAGACCACACTGCAGCAACACCCGTTCCAAGAAAAGGCATGCCTCTGAGGCTGGAAAATGCAGCCTCTCTCGACTGGCCAGGGGAAACGGTGGCTTTACCCTACGATTACAGGTGCCTAAGAGCTAAGGTATCGTAACGGTATCCTACCGACGGACTGCACCTTCGGGGTTTGCGAACCTGCGACAACATGAAGGGAAGGATACATCTCTCAACCGAGTATTGATGAAGACCTTTATCCGCAAGGGACTGAAGCAACATAGGGCTCAATTGAGCATTTTCGCCGAATTTTGGAAACTCCTGTCTATCACCGAGCCGGTATGACTAACAGTTCTTTTCCAAGGTACATATCGTATGGAAGCCTGAGGTCAGAGGTCACGACCACTAAAACCCACCACTCAACAATTGTCCGCTGCATATGTGGCTTGGTTTGCGGATTACCGCCTATGATACCTCAATCTGCTGTGTTTTGTTAGCATCCTCGCTTCTAGTGCAGGTAAATCTTACCCGATTTTACCGCCGCTGTTACTTCCGGATTCGGCACCAATTGCACACCATGAGAATGGACTGGCCAACGTATACCACTCCGGGCTTACGTTGACGTCAACCCCAGCGTCGCGTTGAAAGGTATACTCTTTCTGTTTGGTCATTTTGCGCCCAGATCTCGGTAATCGGTAGAAGACATCCTGTTATCACGACAGTGAACCATTAAAGGAGAAAAGGCACCACAAGGAGGATCCCTGGCTCAATTAGCAGTGGGCTGAGGCTGACATTTGCCCCTGGAATCCAGGGCTCCAGAAAGACGATTCCTTGCGGGAAATAGACGCGGGAACGCGGCTGCGATAGAAGTCTGGTAATCAGAATTCGATACCTCGGTCGGACAATGATCGGTACGTTGTGCAGAGACAGCACGACCGTTTCTTGATACACTCGATTCCCGACATCCAAGGTAACGTGGACGCCATGCCAGAATGCCCCGAGGTCCAAGGCTCCAAGTGTTACTAGCAAAGAACACGCCGCACAAGTTCGACGGCACAGGATCGTCTTTCGCGACCCCCAAGGTCTAAAACGCCGTTGATGACTCTACACCAAGGCAAAGTGTTCATACCCCACGGATGCCCCCTCGGTAGTTGCCCGGCCGGGTCATCCAGGCTTCTTCCCCGAGGGCAAAGGGCGTGAGGCGTACTAAGGAATGCCATCTTCGTTCTGATGGGAACGTTTGACTGGCTCAGAAGGTCTATTACCCGCTCTATGGTAAATTCCAGCGGTCATTTGAGTCAACCGAAGATGTTAAGATTGACATGAAGGTGGCGGGGCACACATTGACCGAGCATGGCGGTAGTACACACTGATAGACCGGGCTACACATTCGATCAGTCGTTATGGATCAACTTAGGGATATAGTCCAAAATGAGTCGAGCAAAACGGTCCTCATGATCCAAGCTTGCACAGCGGTGCTTATCCCAAGACCAAGAGCCGCCCGCAACGTTGACTTGCTAGAGCAGACTATTTCGCCGCACAAGTCGAAAGAAGAATCCGTGTTACAGCCAGTCCAGCAGAAGGGTTACACGATCTTTGGTATCAACGATTACGGTGCAGCCGGGTACCGGAAGACATGAAGCGTGGTGGGGTCCTCGCCCCTAGATGTGGTGAAGGTCGCATTGAGTGGTGACAATCCGACAACCACATCGTTATCCCCTGCGGAACTCGAAATGTATGGAAAGGTATACCGCCAACCAAATCAATGTCCGCGATGCCACGGATTGTAAGACTGGAAACAGGCCACCAAAACGGGCCCGTCTCTCGAAACTACCGCCAAGAGATGGGGAAACGGCCACCATGGTCGCATATGAACATTGGCGATGGTGAAGCGTGGGTATCTGACACTGAAACCTCATGTTTGGTACTGTAACAGTTCAAGCCCCGGCACTTTCAAGACAAGTGCTTAGTACAGACTACAGTCTGACAGGTCCCGATTTAGCGGATGCAGTAATCAAGAACGACATGGGGAGCGCTACCAGTAAATTCACTTCTTGGAACCAAGCACAAGTTACCACCACGGCGGCCTCTATGCTGACGCCAGACGGCGGCCAGCCATCGGTAGGGCAGCCTCGGCATGGGTCCGGGAGCATTGGCCGCCGCCCGGGGCCCCGGCGTGGGATCGGGTCGACTCAACGGGCCATCTCAACCGCATCATTGGGTACGGTACGTTGCACCAACCAATCGTTCTGTTGGGGATCCTTGACGACACATCAAGACGTTGAAAACACCGTCCCCAGATCATCGCGTAATGGCGCCAGGGGCACATACACTCACCCGCACTCCCTCCGGATTTTTCAATTCAGTCATGGGGATAAAGCCAATGGCAATACGCCCGATGGATTCGTCCCGACCAGTATCCACTCCCTACCCTATAACCTCCTTCGTTTTACCTACTGGGAGTCATGATTATCCGTCCAAATCGGTATGACTGCATCTAGGACGGATTCTGAAACATATTGAACCCTTCATCGTGAAGCTACATACATAATGGCAAGGTTGACTTGGGTCCCCGTTAACTGGGTTCAAGGGCGATCATCTCCCCATAGGCACGATCCTGATCATGGCAGCAGAGTTCTAGAACAACATCACATTTTGCGTAGACCTTTTACTATCACGGCCTGCAGGCAGCCGAAGAGAACTAGGACCGTATCTCACCCAATAACTGGCCAATGCTTGAATCTCTTCTGGATGTGGTGCATCATCAGTGGCCGAAAGTGGTAAAACACACACCTAACCCTCCCAAGCCAGTTGACCGGTATGACACGGGCAGATGAAGCCACCTTCAAAGGGACCACTCTTGAGATCATGGCGCTTGCCATGACCGTTCGTTCTCTCTCGCGATTCGACGTAACAGAGATGAGTGATGACGCTTTTACACAAAGTGGGTTGCCTTTGAAAGTTTCGTACGGATCTTATTAGTACAGCCCTGTTAGTGCAGCAGCCCTTTTATGTCCCCAAACGGCCCCGGAGCAGCACGGTTCGCTAACAACCCTTAACACAGGGGTGTTAGTGGTACTGTAACTGCAGACCAACTAAACCGGAGTACTTCCGCGTCTTTTCCACCAACAACCCTTCCACTCCCGTCTTGATATTCCAAATCGTAATTTCCCTTGCCTCTATTATTTCCCAATAAGATCCTCAGGAACATGTGTGTCATAAGTAGTCTATGCAGGTCTCTTCCCACATGATTTCACTGACTTGCTGCGCAAGCGTTGGACTCGTGATGTTCTTCTCTCTTCCGGTCAATTTACAACATCCCCGACCGTAACGGCGCCGCCGGCCGTTGGTCACTGTCTCACCGAGTGCATATAGGCTCTACTGTCGTTGCCTGGATTCCACACCGAGTCGATCCCGGTGGTTTCCGAAAATGATGCCTGCAACAACTCGTGACCATAATACTATCTTCATGAGGCATCTCTCCGTCCGTTGTTAATCGGAACCGGTGACTTGTTTCGTGCCTGGCTCATTAGGCACTGCATCAACGACAATGGCATGAACTGCTGCAGACTGCACAGCGCAAGTCGCAGCAGCGATTCGCCTTGCAGGAAATCAGTCATGTCCCTGCATATCACCAGCCCTACGGTTTTACACTGCTCGGTCAATCAGCGTCATGTCCGTCATCCGACATCACGAGTATCGGCCTGCATTTGCGTGACCATACAGAAGGACATAAGAGTGAATTGGGAAATGAAGTTCTTTAAGTCCGTGAACAAAATCCCGTCCCCTGCCTTTTGCCCTACAAGGTGAAGCTATCACCATGTAGAACGTGCCAAGCCTGAGGCAACCCTCCCTCTTTTCAGCCTTGTGACGTGCATCAAAGATGTCACAGATGATGCATGTCTAGTATGTATGAGTTTCTCATCTTTGGCAGATGTTTCAGAAAAAAGCTTGTTCAGCAAGGTGAGAGCTAACGCGCCGTTTCTATCCCAGGGGAGACAAAACAACAGAGAAAGATGGCTTCTATTTCCCAACAACCATGACGGCGCCAAAAACCCACGATGTACAAGTGGGGATTTGTGAACAATGTCTCGCTAGACAACCAATCGCTTTGATTCCCGCCCATCCCTCCGTTTTCCATCAACAGTCCAAAGACCTCAAAAGGTCTCGAAAGAGTCCGCAGATGATCACTGACCGTGAGGATTTAGAGCCAGTTAAAGCAGAGAGAAAACCACATTCGTCCAAGCACCGCCTCAGAACGGCTGACAAGATACCACCAATCAGTTATCGAGATATCTAACGGAGCACGGTCTCGACATCACTTCCTCCAAAATCTTACCTGCCACAGCCCCTAGTTCCGGGTTCGGGGCGAATAAACTGTTGAATCGATATCTGATACCTTGGAGGAGGATCCGGGTCAGGGACGGAGATGCCGTTGACCGTTCACCGTTGACATCAGAAAGTGAACGGTCGGTCGACCATTGACCGTCGTCGAAAGGGTGGGATCCTATTCCTTGTCCGCTTCTCCACTGAGCGACGAACGGTGGGGCACTGTGCTTGGCACCCGACACAGACACAAAACAAAACTCCAACGTACCCCCGGTCCAGTTCCGGCCCCCATTCGGCTTCCTCCAGGCAGAAGCGGAAGCTCCATGTGATCCTCCGGGAGGCCGAACCGGAAGGTTGAGCCCCACATGCGGCGGAGAGCCCCACTTTACCTGCGAACTTCTAACGGGATGGACGACGGGAAACTGCAACCTCAAGTCTTTCTTCCTTTCCACTTGAAACACAATTGTTGAATCATACAACATCCTCCCGATGCTCTGTGTCGAAATCATCATCATCATCACCACCATCACCGGACAGTCACCCGGTATACGCGGCGGCCGTTGGATGACGGTGCCTGAAGCTGAACGCTCGCTGGTTGTCTTCAGGCAATCAATCTCTCCTCACTCCCCTCTATACCTTTCTTCAACTTGTTTCCTGGCCAGGTGTTGGGATGGAAGTCATCAACCGCTGACGCCGTCGGGAACAAGAACCACCTAAAGACAGGCAGTGCAGCCCGCTGCCCGCGATTGACCCGAACCCGGACAGTATATCCCGAAATAACTGCGTCATAAGATCCTATATCGCGAATGACCCCCATACAACAAATACTCCACGACAAGTCCTCCAACCTCACCGAGCATCCTCCATTCAACGGCGAGTAATCATCATTAATTGATTAATCTCAAAGTTGACTCCCAAGACCCCACGCCACCCCGGGCCCCTACATGGTACGATTGATTCCTGGAACTGCAATATCATACCGCGCAAACCTCAGTCATCAACTTTCGCGCACTACGCATGAAGGCTTTCTGCCTTAGTGAGCCTCGGCACTTACTCACTCTCCGAGACTTTGACTTGGTTCGACCGCCCGCCCCCCGTCTTCGGCCCCCAAAATTCCGGGTCTGGCCCATGGATGTTGGTAAACAGGTGCCTATTCGGCATCATATTATTTCATTCCGATTCTATGAGAACGTTGACCATGCCCCTAGGACCCAGGTGAAGGCAGACAAGTGAAGTCTGCGCCAGACATAGATTGTATGTCTAGGCCTAGGAATCGGTAGGCACCATCATGTATCATTGTTATTCGCGGAATACGAATGAGTAAGCCATAGAGACAAAAGAGAAGGTAATTTGATGGCATGCACGAAGCCTGAGAGAGAGAGAAGAAGAAGAAAGGAGACACCGCAGCCGTGCAGTTATACAGAGCAGAGAGCAGAGAGCAGAGGTTGGTATGGACAATTGTCCATCAGTGCCTAGCAAAGCCTTTGATCCTGGTTTTCCCCTGGGAGAGTAACCTAATAAGTAAACACCGTACTCAGACACCAGCAAGCTGGTACATGCACTTTCATTTCATCATGTCTGCCCACTTAACCGCCGCAAAGGTGTAAGTAAGTAACTCTATCTACGCCTCAGCCACTTCACCCCCACGGCATTCAGTTCTTACCACGACGACGAGAAGAAACCTACATGTACATTACTCAGACGAACGGCGTTTCCTCAAACGGGCCGATCCGCTTCATGAAGTCGGTAATACTTACTGAGCCCTTTTGATCTAAGCCCTAATGTGCCCCAAGGCAACAGAAGGACAACACTCCCATTTAACCTTCTTACTCATTGCCCGAGCCATGTACCAAGTGCCCTGAGCTATCTATCCATCATGGTGCCGCAACCGTACTCTTTTCCCATCCTATCCTGTACCCAGTCACCATTGTGGCGTCTGTCGTGTACGTCAAGTACATACGTCAAGTATGTACTTCAAGAGAGAGAGATGAGAGCGTGTGTGGCAGCCGTGCCACCCCCGCCACCACAAACGGCAGATGTCGTGGTATGGCACCGTTTTTTCTCTGTTTTTATTCTGTCCTTGCCGTGGCTTTGAACGGGAGTCTCTTCAACGGGAGTCTTTTCAGCGGACGCCCGGAAATATGTGGCTGAGACGGGCCTACCTCGGCTACAAAGCCACTTCGCTCCAGCACAACGCCTCAAAGTTGCTGGATTAGACTTTGGGTACTGCTGCCCAGAATACGCCTCACTCTCTCGGAGAACGTGATGAGACTAATTATGTGATGATGTCTGAAAAGCAGAGTCTCAAGATGAGCGCCGAGCGAATGAGAACATCGTGAGCCAATTTGAGGAAGGACGAGATATTGATTGATTGATGGCTTGTGGTCATCACTTCTCCTGGACCTCGTCACTACTGCACCAGTTTCTCGTCCTTTTCTTATTTTCCCCGCGGAGCTAAAGCCGTGTCCATATATCCACCGTTCAATCATCACATTCCCAACAATCCCCCTTTATCACCTAAAGTTTATAGACACCTCTATACCATCTTTCTGGACCACACCTCCAAGACAAGACAAAAATCGTAACAACGCCGTGAAGAGAGGGTGAAGTAAGTTATACACACACATAAAGCGAATGATATGATAAAGTTGACACACGCGTCTTTACTTTTTATCCCCATGCAGACACCGACCGTACTATGATGATGATGTTGACGATGATGACAATGATGATGATGCACGATACACAGAGAAGAAAGAAGCAAACGAAAGGAAAACAATGACTGCACCTCTCGACGAAGGGGTTTACAACTCAAAAAAAATCCAGGTTCGACGCCATGCTCGCTTTCGTCCGTCCGTTCGTCCGTTCGTTTGTTCGTTCGACACCTAGCAACCCCCACCCGAAACCTTTGATATTTTTCGCATCGTGACCGTCACCTTCTCTTACCCATATAAGACTTTTTAATAACCACCCAACACTTCCCGCTTTGTCACAACGTTCGCCATGTTCGGCGCCAATGCCCTTCCTATACCCAGTCGAACCCTTCTAGCCCATCGTTCCTCCTAGGCCCTGCGGCTCATCATGGCCGCTGTGGCCCCTGCAGCTGCAAGATCTTGTTGTTGCTGCTGCCGGGTACTCGTGGTACGAACCGCCGCTCGCGGTAGACTGCTCCCGTTGGCGCCCACATTTCCTGAGGTGAAACTGCCAGCTGTTGAGCCGGTTGTACCTCCGCTTGCTCTTTTCACGCCAGAAGTTGCCCCACTACCCGAAGCCGTCATGCCAGATACCTTACGGGACGCAGGCAGAACACTACTCGCAAGAGTGGGTTTTAAAGGACCTTGAGGCATACCGGAGCTGACGACTCCTGACCGTAGTGAAGTTCTGGTAGTGACGGCGGCGGCCGGCGGCTCCGGTAGGGGGCGAGGTCCTCCTCCATTCAGACTCTGTACACGCTTGGTTGGGGATGATTCCCGCGTCGATGCAAGGCGTGGCACTGGCATGGAAGATGAGGGCGGAGTCTTCTGCCCGGTAATGAACTCATGTCGTACGGCTTCCTCGGGCTTCATTCTTCTGTCCGGATCCCACCTGAGACAGCGGGCAATGAAATCCAGGAATGGCTGATCATCGCACTTGAGAACCTGCTGCAAAGTCTTGGAGGAGGGGCGGCGACGGCGGCCCTTCGAGGAGACGGTAAGACGCGGTTTGCCAGAGCTATCGAAGAACAGCTTCTTGCGTGTTGATTTTTCAATGAGATGCTTCTCCGGAGGCCCAAATACTTCCATGATGCACGCAAGCTGTTCCTGCTCGTTCTCACCAGGGAAAATGGGAACACCAGTGAAGAGTTCCGCCAGAATACAGCCTAGCGACCACATATCAATGGGAAGGCCATAGGTCATACCCAGAATAACCTCGGGGGATCGGTAAAAGCGTGACTGAATGTAAGTATAAACCTTCTCGTTTTCGAAACAGCTGGAACCAAAATCGATGACCTTGATCTCCGAATGTAGAGGGTGTCGCAGGAGGATGTTTTCTGGCTTCAAGTCGCAGTGAATAACCTTGTGCTGCTTTAGCAGAAGCAGTGAGCTGAGCATTTGTTTAGTGAACCGCCGAATCAACTTGAGTGAGAAGCCTCGGAAAGCATTAGACTTGATGAACTCGTAAAGATTCATATCAAGGAGTTCGGTGGAAATGCAGAGATGCCCACGGAAATAGAAGCTGTGGGTGAAATTGACCATGCTGTGCTTATTCTTGGGGTCCTGAAAGTTTACTTGTTAGCGAACAAATACGGTTCGAGTAAACAGTCGTCAAGAACTTACCCATTCGCGAAGCTTCTGCAGAATATTGACTTCCACAAGAGCCTGCTGGTGGAACCGCTTCTTGTTCCGGATAATCTTGACGGCCACAAGGACGCCAGTCTTATGATCAATGCATCGAACAACCTGCCCGAAGCTACCCTTTCCAAGGACATCAATGATCTCATATCTGTATGCAAGATGATCGCCGATAATAATCGAGTAGTCTCCTCGCTCATCATCGTACCCAAAGTTGGGAAGGTCTGACTGAACGTTACCAACCACCTTAGCCGCATTCTGAGTACCGCAAAAGTAGACGTCCTTATAGTCCACAATTTCGCCGCGCTCATAAATGTTCAGGACCGCAATCCTAAGGGCTTCCTGAAGGCCAACGCGTTCCTTGGCAGTAGCACGCTTGCGTAAGGCGTCGAGCGTCCGAGCCGCCATTTCCGTTTCCTTACGCCGCGACCCGAGTTTCTTCATCTCTTCCTCGGCCACCATATCATCCTTGTCGAGATCGGCCGTCCAGACGTCACGGGTTTGGCTCAGAGTCGCACTTGAACTCTTCGGCTTGAGGATCTTTTGCGCCGAGCTATACGTATGAATCGACCGCTCTGCCACCGTGTCCAGCGTAGATTCCTTCTTGCCCGCCGCATCGCTACGTTGACGGTCCCCTGCAACAATGGCATTGAGGCTCGAGGCTGAGCTCTTCCGTCTCCTTGACTCCAAGTATGTCCCGGTCCCATTCGATTTTGATGAAGGCGTCGGGCTTGGGGCTTTCGTGGTTGAAGGCATGCTGCCCAATGTCGCCGATATCGGGATCCTTGGGGGTGGCATAGAATCATGTTTGACACTGTTCGGATCCACCTTTTCAGGCCGACTGTTACCGTTCTTGGATGCGCTTCGTTTCCATGATAGACTCAATTTCCGTCTGATGGAGGTGCCAATTGACGATGGAGTTGGTGGCTCTTCCGGGTCAGTGGGAGGTGGTGGTGACTTTGCGGCAGCAGGCTTTGGGGCTCGCGGTCCAGAGGGTTTCTGGGTTGGAACAGATGCATCGGGATCCCCTGTTTTTGGTCGATTGGAGTATGCCGACTCCTGATTACCCCCCTTTACCGCAGAAGACGAAACATATGGCGACATTCCTGACTGTGGCATCACATTTGACACCACTCCCCCCATTGACTCGTTCGAGCTGTAGGAGTCCATACTACCGCCTTTTCCTCGATTAATTGTGCTTGTACTCCTAAGGTGCTGAACTGTAGGCTTATCCTCAGTTCGCGTTGTGGTGAAGTAGGTGCTTCTTGACGCTGTCATGGGCGTCGACGGCGTCTTTGCAATTTGCCTGCCAGGAGGAGGAGAAAGACTCCTGTCTGATGCATTCTGCTCAAGCGCCGCAATTTTGGCAGCAGTTGTAGTGCTCAACGGTCCTAGAGCAAGCGGGGGCAGACGAAGAGGCTGCAGGTTTTTCTTTGAGTTTGCGGAAGAGGACTTCTTGTCCACAGTCGAAGTGTGTACGGACTTTCGTTGGCTGGGTTTGCGTTGCAGCTTAGCAGGCGGTGGGTCAGTCAGCTGTGCCCCAGATACGCTCCCTGTTGAGGTGCTATTGATGCTACTAGTATCAAACGCCCTATTGGACTTGCGCTTGTCCAAAAACGACAGTTCCCCGGGCGAATCGTACAGCTTTGGTATTGCTGGAACTGGGGGAACCTCTTCCTCTTCCTCGCCGTTCGCCGTGTTCTGGGCAGGCATACCCATTGGAGCAGGTAGCCTAGAGCTGCCGCTCTGCGGAATACGCGGTTGAATAGAGCCAGTCGATGATCGTACAGTGTTGTAGCTATTTGCCGACGCAGCCGAAAGACCAGAGCTGTACGATTTTCTGTTATTCGCGTCCGGGGTAGTCCGAGAGGAAGCTGGCGTTGGGATCTTGCGCGGCAACATGGATGGAGAACGAGACGAAGGACGTGATCTAGCTAATGGCATCGGAGCTGTTGGTACTGGAGCTGGCGCTTGAGAGGGTTGATGATGTGACATTCGCTTCATTAGTCTCGTATCTGTCGGGCTGATCGTCCTGGCGCCTAAGCCTGTTGCATGTGAAGTATGAGGAACACCAGGCATAACAGATATCCTCTTGGTCGAGGATGGAACTGGCGCCTTGACGGCAGTCATGGGGGAGCGTGGAAATGTCACAGGCGAGCTCCCGGAGCCCAAGGCAAGGGCGCTCAAGTCGTGGGCTAGTGTAGTAGCATCGCTGCCTCGGGGCGGCGGTTGCACAGATCTCGCCTTGGAGGTTCGCGTTGACTCGGGCATAGGACGAGGCCCTCCGTCTACGGACACTGACGTGCGTACCGGCGGCTCTGTTCCATTTCGCTCCCCGAGTGAGGACCGCCTGGGAGCTTTCACTGTATTGTTCGTACTCGAGACTGGGGGGTAATGGTTCGGGCGACGAGTGCGGATGGCGGCCGGAGCGGTAGGGGTCGTAACACCCGAGGTGTTGGATGCTGTTGTTCCTAAGCCTGCCTGTCTATTCGTGCCAGTTGTTATACTAGGTCTTCGCAAAATTGACCCGCTCCTGGCAGTCCGCGTCGGGGCGGGCTGCTGGACCGCGACTCTCGCGCCGGTCGCATTGATGGAGATGTCGGAATGGCCCCCCATGCTTTCAGGTGTAGAATTTTGGCCAGGCGGTGTTGAGTAGTGGGCCAGCTTGAAGTCGGCCTCGAGGCTGCTCTGAAGGTCGTCGAAGCTCACCGAGGGCAAGAATTCGAATGCTGTGCTTGTCGATGATCCGTCTTCGTTACCATTCCGGCTGCCAAAGGAGAACAATGAGTGGTTGTTGGACGAGGAGGCGCTCAGCATCGGAGGATCCTCGGTAGGTCGACGGTAAGCGTTGATTTTGGAGGGACTGCAGTTTTCCTTGCGCCTGTGCAGGAAACACGAGCCAATGTTAGCTAGTCTGAATCGAAAACACGGAAGGAACTTGCGGCGGGAGCTACCACTGGGCGCGATGCAAAAGAGAGTAGCACTTGAGAAGACAAGACGAGACAAGGACGGGAACAACCTGGTGGGTGACTGGGTTTCCCCTCTGGGGCCAGCGGGGACGTGCCGCTCCCTATTGTTCATGGGTGCAATGGAGCCGTGAGGCCGGTGGTTATGGAGTCACGCAGCGCGAGGCGGGCCTCAATGAGCGGAAACGTCAGGACGACAGGGCCGCGGTAAACGGGATACGGCAACGCAACCGCGACCACAACGGGAACGGGACGGAGCCTCTTGCTCGTGCTAGGAAAGGGCTGAGTGCTGACGGGGGACAAGGCGAGACCGACAGACCGGCGACAGGATCGCGAGGCGGTCTGTCTGCTTCAGACTTTTAGTACCTTTGCTTGGCCGGCGTGCAGCATGCAGCGTGCAGCAGCAGCAGCGTGCGTGTAGGCGTGAAGGGCGGTACGGATTATTATGGTGGTCGTCGTGGTGCGGTGGACGGTGGTGGTGCTTGGTGGTGATAATGGTGTTTGGTCCACTCTTTGGGATGAGATGAATGGTTGGTGCGTTCGCTTCAGTTCTCTCCACTGCTGTGTTAAGGTATCCTGTCCTTTGTGGTCCGAGTCGTCGATTCGACGTCGAGCCTAGGTCCAAGTCGTCGACAGCCAATGCGGGTGGGAGGACGGCGCGAGAGCTCTACCATTGCCCAGATCAGCGAGAGAGAGGGACAAGGGCTCAGTCCGGCCAAGGAGCTGAGATGGATATCGAGGCTACCTCATTCCGAGGACGCGGTGGAAGTCGTCGTCGTCGAGCGTGTTCGAGACACAGCAGCCGGTCGTCGTTCGCTTGGTCGATCGAGAGATGAATAGTAGCAATGGTAGGTAGCAATGGAAGCAACAATGGGATTGGGATGGAAGACAAAGTTTTGTTGCCTTGCTTGCCCTGGGGCCTGTGCTAATGACCTGGCAAGGTGTCTGCCCTCTGTGTGGTGCTACCGGGCCGCTACCCTTCTCTACGGACTAGCCTGGTTTCGCCTGGCCAAGCGGCTGCTGGCCGGCAGGTGGCAGCCACCATGAAGCAGCCACTAACATTACCTCTAATGCGGTCGGCCACCGGGTCAACCAACTGCAAGAAGCCTCCATCTGACAGCAACGAAAGACTCAAGTTCCTGTGATGCCGCTGCTGCGTAACTCTCATGCGTGAACTGCCTGGGTGCTTGCGGTTGGTGGAAACGAACAAAATGCCCTAGAAAATAAAGGAGCTGTGGTGCGTTATACCCTCGTCGCTACCCGCGCTTGATGAATTGAGGTTGCTTTGTCTCTGAACAACAACTCGAAATTTCATGGGGCAACAACTCCTCAGGGGAATCTTTTTGTGGGGACCGAAAGTCGCAAGAAGGAAAAAAAGGAGAAAGCCGACGGCGGGAACTCCTCATTCAGAACATCGATGGAAAGATGCACATGCAGCAGTCCAACGAACCCAACACGCCTTCCCCTCTTCTTCTCCGCAGACCCTGGATATCCACGCCCAAACGGCATCCACAATCAATTCAACAGAGATAAGAGTAACTTCCTCCTGACTTCTTGTTGTTCTCATTCAAAGACTTCCCAATGCACGACCCTCTCGGCAAACCGTCTGAAAGATGGCGGGGACGCCAAGGCCGGGACGGGAGCCAGTCCAGGTCCATCCAGATTTGAAGGGAGGATCCTGGCGGCGGCGATATTAAGAAAGAGTCGTGGCAAGGACAAGCACATGGCATATCTACTACAATTTCAATGTGCTTCCGGAGAGCAAATAACATTGGCCTATCCTCTTTTTTAGAATTAGAGATGGTTCCTGGAGATAGTTCCGCGTAGTATCGACGCCAAGGCTCTAGAAACCAACGTTAACAAGAAGGAAGTGGTGTTGAGATCTGGAAACCCAACCATGGAGATCATGGGGTCTCGGTGCCCAAGTATTGCTCCCTTACGTCAACTAGTATATTTGTCCAAGTTTCATGGGGAAAAAAAAACAAAATAAAAACCGAAGTCGACTTGTTCAGTGATGGCCTCAAGAAATATGGACACATGATATGCAAGGTCCCCGCAACTTGCTATAGGGACGAGTAATTTCCAATCTCATCCGGCAGATGAACGTCAATGCCGAGCTACATTGAACCTAGGTAGATTTGACAGTATGGGGGTTGACAGGTTGAACTGCAGGGTTGTCCCCGTCTCATTTCTATTTCTTTCTGGACCTCTTTGAACTCTTTCTTTCACGGTCACAGGTCGCCTTTCAACAACTCATGTCGATGTTGGCACCGTTGGGTAGAAAGATGTGCGGATGTGACATGTCCGTACCAGAGCCAATTCTCCCCTTGAACTTGACGCCAACGAGGATCAAAACTGGAGCCCTTCCGGCTTGGCTGAAGCCCAACTGTAAAGCTTGCACTGCACGATCGAGATGCACTTGCAGGAAAATCTCGGGAGTTTGAAAGAGTATGAGTTCATGATCAATATTTTCTTCTTTTCTTGTTTCGAGTCCTCAGATGGTGGGTTGCTTCAGGAACAGGGGCTGCGGTGCCGTGATAAAGTAAAAGCTTGAAGTGATTTCCATGCAGGGTCCCCTACTTCAAAACACCCACACCTCCAATGCCTTGCCGTCGTCAAATATCGTTAAGTCTACTATGGTGTTGTGGGTAAGTTAAACCCGTGGGTCAGGTCGTTGAATACACAGTGCCCACGAAGCTTTGGCTGTGGTGGTTCGTGCAAGGTACCTGACAGGGAGGTAAAACTTTTGCTCGCAACCACAGTATAGCAAGGAACGTCCTTGGTGATCACAGCTTGCGGCGTGGACAAATCATATCTCACCGTGGATTTCAAGGGTTTGGTAGAGAATCCGGTTATGAATGACGTCTAGTGTCTGCCACAGGCAGCGTCACCTCAACAAAAGTAGGTTGCAAAATTGATCAAAATTCTGCCAGAACTAGGTAGAAATGGAAACTCTTCATAATTCTGGGTGACTGATGTTTGTTGACTTCAACTTTGTGCAGTCGCATAGAAGTTCTGTCCACATCATCGGGTGAGCCTGCATTGTTAAGAGAGGGCGCCAGACATTAACAACAGCTATGATGGCACCAATGATGCTTGGCCTTTGAGCCTCGATTTGGTGGAGATGTGGCAGTCGAGCCCAGTAAATCAGGACGTCGACAGAGAAGCTGGGAGGTAGCGTTAGCAGCTCATAGCCCCTCATAACATCAAAAGCTACCCTTGTAGTCGCGCGTACCGCTTTCACATGCGCAGCTCCTCACTCACCTTGCACCAGCATTCCGTCATCATCATCATCGCCGCATTCACAACTTCAACACTCAGGCATCCTACTGAAACCCCCATTCACACGCCTAAAGCTACCTCTCTGTCCTCAAACTGTAGCGAATCTAGTCTGACTGGTACATGAGATCAAGCGATCGAAGCAAAGACGGAAGAATTACCAAGAGAGACCTTGGCTTCCGCCACCTTGGGTAGAATGAGATTCTCGAAGCCGTAAACGACCCAAGACCGCGTGATATCTATAGCCATGGACGACTTAGCTGCTGCCTTTCTCGGTCCAGGCGATGACGCCTCAATCCAGGAAGAGGATGACGGTCAACAGGAACAGGGCTCCGGCACCGACTCGACCACCACGGCCCGGACATTGCGACGGGGGATTCTCAAGGCAGCCAACTTACAAGACAAGCTTCTAGAGAAGTACTTCCTACCCAGCTCATGATATTTGCATTTATCAGTTCTGAGGTTACTAACTTGAATACACCAGACTCCTCGCGCAAGTCATCCCCGTAGACGATGGCCAACCTCACGGCAGCGGCGAAGCCGGCGGGGCCAACGAGCCCTCAGCCTTCGGCGAACGCCCCGGCTTCACGGTAGGCGCCATGTCCAACAACTTCCGGCGCTTCAACGCGCGCATCGGGGTCGTCTTCAAATTCCAAGCCAAAGCCCTACGGGTGCTCTCATGGCGACGGCCCACGCACACCTTGTCCCTACTAGCCGTCTACACCTTCGTCTGCCTAGACCCCTACCTAATCTTCGTTCTCCCGCTCGCCATCGCCTTATTCGGCATCTTCGTGCCCTCTTTCATCGCGCGACACCCAGCGCCCGCCTCCTCCTCCGAAGCCCACGCGGTCCGCAACCTAGGCTACTCCCCCCGCGGCCCTCCCCTAGCGCCCGCCCGCACCTTCAAGCCGACCAAGGAGCTGTCGCGCGACTTCTTCCGCAACCTGGGCGACTTGCAGAACGTTATGGACGACTACAGCGTGGCCCACGACAAGATCATTGCGCTGGTTGTCCCCAAAACCAACTTCTCGGACGAGGCCTTGTCGTCCGCCATTTTCGTGTTGCTCTGCGGCGCCTGCGCCCTCATGACCGTCACCGCCCACCTGATTCCCTGGCGCTACATCTGCCTGGTCGCCGGCTGGGCCGCCATCTGGTCCAACCACCCCACCGTTTCCCGACTGATTGGTGAGTGGCAGGCTCAGTATCTAGGAGCAGGAGAAAAGGGAGAACAACCGAGTGCGACGGCGCAGGCCGTGCACGACAACGACAAGAAACTGGAACAGATCCAGAACCACCCGCCCGGTCCCAGCCCTGATTCATCGCTAGCAGCCGAACGCGCTTTCGACGCCTGGGTCCGCTCGGACATCATTCTGGACGACGCGCCCGAGACGCGCGAGGTGGAGATCTTTGAGCTGCAGCGCCAGAGCGACACCAGCGGCGAGTGGGAGCCGTGGCTGTTCAGTCCGTCGCCGTACGACCCCCTATCCGCGGCACGGATCGCGGGAGACCGGCCCACGGGGACGCGCTTCTTCGAGGACGTGCTGCCGCCTGAGGGTTGGGAGTGGAGCGGGAAGAAGTGGGCGTTGGATCTTTGGAGTAGGGAGTGGGTGGAGGAGCGGATCATTACCGGGGTCGAGGTCGAGACGGAAGGGGAGAGGTGGGTGTATGATATCTATAATGAGCATGAGAATGGGGGTAACGGTGGTGATAACGACGACCTGGGAGCGGCGTTGGGGGATGGGGATTACGAAACACCGGTGAGGAGTCAGGATCAGAGTCGGCATACGCCTAAGATTGGGCCGACGATCTGTTGGGAGGAAGGAGAGGAGGGGATGGGTCGGAGGGGAAGTTGGCGAAGGAGGAGATGGGTGAGGATGGTGAAGAGGAAAAATGTCAATGCGGCGTTGAATTAGTGGTGGCCGTCTTGGTAGGTGCCCTTTGCGGTTGCTGGTTATATGATTATGGGAATGATTGGATTGATGAACCTGAGATGATCGACCTTTGCTTCACTGCGTTATAGCTTGTCAAGGAGCTTGAACATGCGGAAGGGGTATATTGTATTCTACCGGAACTACTCCTCGTTTCCTCATTGTGCCCACCGTTTTTGCCCATTTCCACAAGGCACCCAGACCCTTGACCGCCTGCCTTTGCTTCTACTAATATGCAGAAAAATTACCATACTAACACAAGACAATAAGGTATAGGAATAGTAAAAAAAAACCCTTGACTTGTAACCGTGTTTTCCCTCTTTGTCCCAGTGGTATCACCCCAGGATATACCAAGGACATACGTCAAATCGAAGGAGCATATAAGCCAAACCGTGCCTTGGATACCCAGACAGCCAGATAGACCAAGCCCATTGTCTCCCATAACAAATTCGCAAGTGGTATAAAACGCCACGCTCCGCCAGCCAAGACAATAAAAAGAAAAGGTCGTATGCTGATCAAGGGCTGTTGATCATAAGCCAATGAAGAAGAAAAAAAAAAAAGGAAAAGACTGAAACAGAAGAGAACTCGTGGAAGCTGGACAGCACCCGCTCAGCTCAACACACCCCCAAAGGGCTTATACCGATCCAAGTCTCTCAACAAGGCATCAACGACCCCGGGGAGATGCTGATCAAGCTTTCTCTTCTTGACATCCACCGACAGCGTGACGCCCCCGTTGACTTTGCTCCCGCTGCCCTGTTGGCTAGCCGTATCGCTACCGGCCTTATCCCTTGTTGGTGATGTGGGTGTTGACGATGATGTTGGTGACGACGCCATGGAAGCGGAAGGAGCCTCGGGGGTAAGGTAAAAGTATAGGAACTCGGTCAAGCGGAACTTGACTTCGCGGCCGGTTTCCCTGCTCTTGAAAAGAGACGCAACAGTCAGAAGACCGTCAAGACGCTCGAAGACGCGCACGTTGGCGGGGGAGTCGAGGAGGGCGACGACGAGGGTGATGATGGTTGCGCATTGGATGGCGGGGCTGTTGACGGGTTCTATTAGGTCGAGGAGGAGCTGGAGTTTGGGGGAAGGAATGTTAGTCAACGTTCCGATGGCCTTCTTTGTGTGTTTGCTGATGGTCAACTTACGTTCATGTGCGCAGCCCTCGAAAAGAGCACCTTGCTGGGTGGGTGTAGAAGGAGAACACCTTGGATCAGGTCCAGAGCATTGAGGATAAGCAAGTCATACTGCCCCTCGCCGCCCCGGGCCACCAGAAAGTCGAGCGTTGTGAGCAGGCGCTGGGCGACATTCCATTCGAACCCCTCCTGCAACTTGAAGAACTCGCGAAACGCTGGGTCGCCAGCAAGGTCGCCTAGGCCCTTGCGCTGTAGTTGTGGTTGTTCCCCGGCAGCAGCCGCATCTTGTTCCCTCTTGGCCGGGCCTGATAAGCATATTTGGGCGAGCAAGCCCTCGACTTGTTTTAGACCCTTCTTGATCTTTGCCGGCTCGAAGGCCGAGAGGTTGTCGAAAGCGAGCGATAGTAGAGACTCCATGGTTGACTTGGGTCTGTATGTATCGTGATCGGAGTTTGTGTGTATATGGTTGGATTTTGGATTCAGATTCGGAGAGGGGTTGCTGAAGATGTCCGATCGATCGACGATGAAGATGGTAATACTTGGAATAAGATGGGCAGCGCCCAATCGCCTATGATGTAATTTTGCGACGCCCGCAAGTTGAATGCGACCGGCAACCCCTGCGCCGAAGATCTTCAGGGCAGAAGAGGAGTGATAGCAGGGGAAAGGGCTCTTGGCGCTAGTCGTTCCCACGGCCACTATTGAACGATATTCGAAGTCGAAAGATGCTATTCAGAACGATGAGGTGATGGTTGGATTTGGGGGAAAGAAGTGGACGTCCCCCAAATGCGCCGCCGCGGAAGGGGTTCAGTTGGCGCAAGAGCTAGAGGAAGATCGGATGGGATGGTCTGATGCAAAACTGAAAGCCAAATGGCACTCTGACACCACGCGTGTGCGCGCGCAGACAGGGGGTCACCAGACGACCGGGACTGGGACTGGGCTTGAAAACGAGGACCTGAGGCGGAAGTGGATCCGGCGATGTTGACCGCAAGATGCGAATTGGTTCGTTTGTGCGAGCGTGATGGCGCCGGTGCCACGACGGTCCAGGGATTTGGAGGGAGCCGGTGCGCTAACTTTTAGGGGACCGCTACTGGAGAGGAGAGTTGCAGACGGGAACTGCGCAAAAGTGAAAAATAAGAAAAGATGAAAAGATGAAGAAGAGCTCCATTTTATGGTCTGTCCGTCTCTCGCAGTCCAAGGGACCCGACGACGAGAATGTAGCTGTTTTACTTGTAACAACCCGACCAACGGAATAAGCTGTCCCTTGCTGCCCAGTGCAGGCTCGACCCAGGCTGCCAGAGCTGCCCGAAGCCGGATGCCACAGCAACCGGAACGGAGCTGATAACACGGCGCGCACTCCTTATCGGGCGCGAAACAGCAGTTACAGGCGCACATGCGACGGGAAGGTGGGCAGTGGTGGGCAGAGGTGGGGTTGTTGACTTGTGTGAGGCCCTGCATCGCTGCATGTTTCCTCGGGCTTCCCGCTGGGCAATCTGGGAGGGCGGCAACGAGGCACATGGACGACGTCTCAGCTGCACAGGGCAGGCACCCGCCTGCACACCCGCCTTGCATCCGAGGTGGATTCTCCGGAGAGGGCAAACAGGGCTCCGAGACGGCACCCGGACCAACATCAACAATCCTTAAGATGATCGACAAACGCATGAATGTTTCGGCATCACAAGTGTAAGAGGATGCGGGGTGTGTGATGAGTTGAATCAGCGGATCCAACTTGTCGGGAATCATGGTTCAGTGCGGAGTAATGAAGTGGTGATTCATGCTCTGCAACTCCGCGCAGTCAAGTTAAACTATGGCGCTCTCAAATGTGTTCGGGGGCTTTCTCCGCCGATGTCTCATCTCATGGTTCACATACCCACGAGAAGTTGGAATAGACCGAAGTCATCACGGTGATATCGAGCCCTTTACATGGTACTCCGTCTTTCGTTACTCCGCACATCAATCTTGCCTTGCCCATCCAGCTGAACATTCTGAGGTTTCTCCATGATCTTCACTTTATGCACTCGGCGCATTGCATCGCCGACAGACATGCACAAAGTCAACGCATGCGGTCCTTGAATCCCTTGCGGTCAAGTGCTCACATGTTCAAGATATAAAGTGCGCAGACGTCCCCTTTTCTACATCGTTGTGAATTCATCATATGCAGAAACAATTCGACCGCTTTTCTGGAATACTCTTAATTTGCGCGAGGTCCACAACGGCCGATCTCGTTCGCTATATCGCACCACGCCTGCATCTTTGACGAGCCCCTTACAAGCAACAACACTTCAACCCCTATTCTCTGTTTATTCAAGTCGGTCTGAATCCCCGACAAAGAACGACATAACGGAAATTTCCACCATTTTCCACAAAGCAAAGGTGAGAAAGCTACCCTTTTTCATCCCTAGAAGATGCCGGTTTCACGCAGGGAGCTCCCGACAAAGAGCAGCGCGAGACGGGATCGCCCGTTCGATCTTGTGAAGCTCTTGCGGCCCCTGTGAGAGCTCCCCGCATCTGATACCCCACCACGCTATTTTCAGGTGCCCTTGAGGTTCCATTTCTCTCCGTCGGCCGCCAAAAAAGTCTCCGCGTTTGCGATCACTTGCATCCACTGCCAGGGGAAAGAAAAGGGCAGGAAGGTCAGGGTAGCGATCCGAGATAAATGCTACAGCGAGCTTGGCCCGATTTGTCGCCCGCAGTTTCCCTTCTTGATCTGGCGATGGCTCGCATGTGTCAAGATCGTGGATGAACGACTTCTTGTTGGCGTGATTATTTGCTGACCCCAGATACAGATCTCTTGGCCTTAAATCCCCCTTCTTATAGCGAAGTGATTGCTGCCGATTGGCACACGACCTGTCAAGCGGTATTATCGTCATAGCGTGCGGGTATCGAACGTTGCCCAAGAGACTGTGAAGCTTGCTTCAGTTGTCACAACACGTGAACTATTTATAAGAAGCCAGCCAGAGCGCCGGCCACTTTTGATCGGACGACGCACGGGGTTCATATGTTCCTGTACCGACGGTTTTCCAATAAACATAAAAAGGAAAAGGAACACGTCACCATGGCCGTAACTTCCTCCTCACCTGGTCCCGCCCCGCTTTCCCATCTCTCAAACAACGACGACTTTGCTCCCTTCAACATCAACAACAAGTTCCCATCCGCCATCATCCCTCCGAGGACCTCTTCTAATCCCTTGACATCAGCCGTTCCTGGTCAACCAATCCCCCTCGCCATACCCTCCAATTGGATCTCCCCTGCCCAGGCGCAAAGCCGTAAACGCAAGGCCTCGGTCGCCCAAATCACTCCCTCCAGCATGCTCCCAACATCCTTCTCCCCATACACAATGGCGCCCCAACCGCCTCAGCCTCCCCCGAATCCGGACCGGTTTGCGACCGAAGACTTCTTCAGCCCCTCGCGGCGCACCTGGTCCGAAGAGAAGGAGAAAGTCTTGACAGGTCCATTCGACTATCTCAATGGGCACCCGGGCAAGGACATTCGATCGCAGATGGTGAAAGCCTTCAACGCCTGGCTTGACGTGCCCTCCGAAAGTCTCGAGGTGATCACCAAGGTGATCGGCATGCTCCACACAGCCTCTTTGCTCGTCGACGACGTCGAGGACAACAGCGTCCTGCGCCGCGGTTTCCCCGTCGCCCACTCCATCTTCGGCATCCCGCAGACCATCAACACGTCCAACTACGTGTACTTCCACGCGCTGCAGGAATTGCAAAAGCTCAAGAACCCCAAAGCCGTCAGCATCTTCTCCGAAGAACTCCTCAACCTGCACCGGGGCCAGGGCATGGACCTCTTCTGGCGTGACACGCTCACGTGCCCCACGGAGGACGACTACCTGGAGATGGTATCCAACAAGACGGGCGGTCTGTTCCGGTTGGGAATCAAGCTGATGCAGGCCGAGTCGCGGTCGCTGATGGACTGCGTCCCGCTCGTCAACATTATCGGACTGATCTTCCAGATCGCCGATGACTACCACAACCTGTGGAACCGCGAGTACACGGCCAACAAGGGCATGTGCGAGGACCTGACGGAGGGCAAGTTCAGTTTCCCCGTGATCCACAGCATCCGGTCGAACCCGAGCAACATGCAGCTGCTCAACATCTTGAAGCAGAAGACGGCGGATGAGGAGGTTAAGAGGTATGCGGTGGCGTACATGGAGAGCACGGGCAGCTTTGAGTACACGCGCAAGGTCATCAAGGTGCTGGTGGAGAGGGCGAGGAAAATGACGGAGGAGATTGATGATGGGAGGGGGAGGAGTGGGGGTATTCACAAGATCTTGGATCGCATTATGCTTCATCAGGAAGAGAATGTGCAACAAGAGAATGGGAAGAAGGAGTAAAATGTGGTCCTTTGTCATACATACCCCCCTTTTCTTATGTCGGTTGTCGATTTTTTGTTTGGATTTTTATGGGATTGAATGTATGGGTGGTGAATCCTCTCCGTGGTCATACCATCCAAAGAGCGAGTATGCCTGATACGGATCTTTTAAGGACACGGTGCTCAACCACATGGCGTTCGTCTCTGGTATGTTTCTGGTGGTGTTTTTGGGGATATCTCGTTTGGAGTCATTTCTATGAAACGCGGGGAAGCAAGTAAGCAATCAAGCATAGCGAATTTGAAACCCCTCTTCTTTTGTCCACTTCTTCCCTTGACTGACTCAAAAGGATCCTGAGTATCAATTGCACAGAATCATCTTTAACCCCCTGGCTGCGTCAACTTTCTCATCGCAAAGACCTAGGATGTATATGAAGCGGTCTCGACTCCGATATCAGACATTGATTCCTATATTATAATTCTGCTAATACGCTAACCTATCCTTCACTACCAACACGAAAGGGTCTCAAAACTTCTCTACCGGCTTCGGCGCCTCCTGAGATGGCGTCCGTACTGTTTCCGTATGCGGTGACGGCGTATACAACGGTGATACAGGCCCTCCTTCCATATCCAAAGGACCAGATCCATACAGTTCATACCGTGGTTCTTCCACCCCTTCTTGACCAACAGGAGGCTGTCCAGCCGCCGAGCCATACTGCGTCGTCGGTGACGCTGTGGCCCCAACCCCCTGATGATCCTGTTCCGCCATCATCCTCGAATCAATCTCGACCGGCACGGCAATATCACCAGGTCCATGCGGCTGGAGCGGAACTCCGCTGTCCCTATCGACACCCGGTGTAGTACCCGTCGAAGGCAACCTAGAATCAGAGTAAGGCCCGACCGCGGCCTCGGGGCCGAAATAGTCTTGAGTCCCACCCGGCCGGGACTGGACATCGGACGTGACTTCGGACATGGGCTGCTGTCCTCTCCCTCCTCCACCGATGATGGCGCCGATGATTCTACTAGGTCCCGAACGGCGTGAGGTACTAGCTGTTGCGCCGCCCGCTTCGCTTGCCCTTCTGCGCCTGCGGGATCGCAGACAACACCATGTTAAGACGCCGAAAAGCAAGCCAAAGCCGACGACTACGCCAATGGCAATACCCGCTTTGGCCCCCGCGCTCAGACCGGGATCGGGGTGGAACTCGGCAATGCCGCTGATGGTTGGAGAGGCGGCGCGTTCGGCGCAAAAGGCTTTACCGGTGATCTGGGTGCAGCTCTGAGTGAGATCACAGCATCCACCGCCTATGCTGGCGTCGCAGGAGGTCTGGCTGGTTGTGCAACCTGAAGGGACGAGCGGGACTACAGTGCTCATTGAGGACGAGGGCGTGATGGTCGCGATACACTTGCCGCCTTCGGCGCAAGCCTGGCCGTATGGGCAACAACTGCCACCGAGGGATTTCGGGCAGAGGTAGAAGGAGATACTGCATTGGCGGGCGCAACAAGCTGACAGGAGAGTCACCGATGATGTATCGCCTGTTGTTATGGTTTTTGTGGCGGCGCATAAGGTCATGCCTGACGTGCAGGGAGAACTACAGTTGGAACCGATGGCGCAACATGCTGCCTTAGTCAAAGCAGTTGAATTGGCCTGACAACTGTTGAGAATTGATTAATTAGCATCGGCATCATCAGAGAGGGGAAGAAAGAAGATGAGCAGGATGCATTGGCGCAACAATATCAACAGCCAATGTATGCGACCAGTCCATGGCGAAGTAGGAGGAAGAAGCACATACAACTGGTCGTTCCCACAGCAGAAGCTGCCACCATCGTTTCCGATTTCGAGGCCTAAGCGTCATACAGAGTCACCTCGTCAGCCTTTGTAGCCATGTATGATCCACATGGGTAGCTCATACACGAGTGTTGGTCATTAGGACATTGCAGCTGGCCCTGTCGCTTCTCAAGCGGACTGGCGTTTGAAGCAGCGTATTCTTGGAAGTATCGAGGAGACAACAGGATGCCCGTTTCCACGGCTTGGAAGTTCTCATAAGCGGCGACGGTAACAATGGCCGGTATGAGAAGCCAGACCAGCAAGGCCAGGACGCGCTGGACTCGGATGGAAGCCTCCATCATGGTCATGGATGGGCTATACTAGGGTCTTGTTATATCCCGAGATTGTCGGTGGTGGGTGGGTACTGAGGTGTACTTGGAGGAAACAGCCCTAAACCATGACTTTCGGAAGGTGACGCGGGGCTGTTGGTTGGCGCCGGAGTGATATCCAGGGGGGAAGAGCGCCGACGACGGCAATGGTGTTGAAGGTGGGCGGACAGATGAGACTCTGAAGCAAGCAAAGAAGACAAATTGCAAGTGACTGCTTCACTACGTGAAAATTTCACGGCATGTCAGCATTGGCTCTGGCCCCGTTGACAGAAGAAAGAACCGCGTGGTCTTCTCCCAAATCCCGTCGCTGTAAGCGCGCCGAGGGCTGGTGACTTGAAGGATCCGGGGGCCTGGCTACTGTCAAGGTTCCATTATTCCCAAGCAACGTGCCGTGCAAGTCTGCAACGGGCAAAAGCTTCCCGGTGGCACAGCGGGCCAGACCTCCGGACTGGTCCTAGTGGCGGGGCGAAGAACTGAATCTGCACGACATATGAACAGTGGGAATTTGGAGATGCAGTGTTCTCAACATCGCCGTTGTTGTCTTTGCTGACAGTGGGTAACAGTGGTGTGTGTCTTCTCTGAAGCCACCGTGAGGCCAAGTCCCAAACAGGAAAGTGAGGCGAGTTGGTTCGGTGGTATCATACACAAGGTTTCATGCAGCGTTTCGCTACACCATCGCGTTGTACGGCGGTTCTGCGTATCGACTCCCGTCGCCCATGTCGCTGAGTGGCCCTCGATACATGTTGTTGTGAAGAAGTTGAGATTCTCGTCCTAGATCCCAGCGCTATTGCGATACTATCTGGGCCTCGGTCGATTTGCGCCAACAGGTGTGTGGTTGGAGTGATGTCGCACGTTGGATGAAGAGAAGTCCCAGGTGGATTGTTCAGTTGGCATCAGGAAGAATCTGCCTCTTCACTTTCTCTTCAATCAAGAATGGGTCGTTCTTTCCGGCTGACGAGAGTTCGAGGCCATCCTCGCGGTGAAAGGAAGGTGGTCAAGGTATAGGAGAAGGCACGACCAGCACATCGAACTTTCCGCATCATCAGCCCAGAACTCTCCCCTGTCATCTGCACGGTTCTTTCTTCAGCTACCTAGGTAGGTACATTCAGATACAGCTCTTTTTCAACGCAAAGCACCAAATTCAGGAAGGTGTGGATGGCCCTGCCAAGATTCACGAGTCTAACATCGATCTCTCCACCACAGACAAGATCGTGAGATCCACGCCAGCACAGTTCTCACAAGTCGGACCTGGCTTATAAATGCGGTTGGTGCACCAATGTAACGCCAAGTAGCATTAACCAAACCTAAGATGGTCAAGGGAATCATGGTACCTCTATCAAAAAGCCATATTCGGACTGGTGCCCCCCGGACAACGTCGGTGCCTGGAGAGACCAAGCGAGACAAAGAATGGGGTGATTCACGGGAATAAGTGAATAAGTGTATGGCAGGCGCCGCCGTTTGATAAGTATTAACAAACTTCCATCTTTCTTGCTCGCGTTTCCGTTGTTCTCTTTCATTGTCAAGTGGCTACGAACCTACTATTCAACAATGCGGTCCTCTTCCATCCCCTCTGTGCTTCCAGCACTTCTTCTCGCCGCGCCGCTGGTGAGCACACACCCTAGCGCAGACTCCGTCGTGGGCTCTCTGTTTGCGCGCGCCGACGATGGTTACGAAAACACGGTCTGCCAGCCTCCGGTCAAGGAGGGATCCAACGGTCCCATTCCTCCCTGCAGCAGTCTCGAGAACATCGAGTACCAGTGCGCCCCCAACGGAACCTCATCCCTTGCTCTGGAGGCTCACAAACAATGTAAGCGACTTCATCCCTAGTAAAGAGACATAGACAACCAACTAACAATTTGACCTCCACTTACAAAGGCATGTGCGGCGGTTCCTTCTTCACCGAATGGCCCTTCTGCCAACAATGTCTCTACGTCCACGGCCTGCGCTCCGAGCGCGACGTCAAGCGCTACCTTGAGGTGCTCTCCTCCGCGTCCTCCATCCTGTGCGGCGCGCCCACCCCGACCGAAGTCTTCGCCAAAATCTTCACCAGCGTGGACTATGAGGTCCCGGAGCCGACTGACGGTGCCACCGTCAGCAGCGACCAAGCCGTGAGCAAGACGGACATCAGCTATTACATGACCACCACGATCAGCCAGGGTCCTGGGAAGATTACGGGGTCGGCACTGAGTGCTACTGCTACTGATGCTCCGCTGGCGCCGCAGACTACGAATACGGGTGGGGATGATGGTGGTGACGATGATGCGAAGACCACTACTAGTACTACTAGAGGACCTTCTACCATAACCACGAGCTCATCAGCCAACGGTTCTAGCGGCACGGCTGCTGCTGAAACCTCCTCGAAGCCTAATAGCGCTGCAGGAGTTAAAGCTGGTATCGCGGGTGTTGTTGGTGTTGCTGCTGCGATGGCGGTTGCTATGATGCTCTAGGGGGACATGGAAGGCCTTGATGATGAAGATGATGATAATGATGAGATGAGAGGAGAAGACTGAATGAGCGGATCATGTGAGCCATTTGGGCGAGGGAGGCCTGTGGTTATGTCAGTATGAATTCCTATTTATAAAGTGAAGGAGTAATGCATTCACCTCCCCTGAAGAAGCATGGACCCCAAGGGAAGAAGAGGACGTAAAGTTCAAAGAATGGTCTTCACTGCCAGACTCATGATTCTTGCCACTATTTCAACGATCAGGCTTGGATCATGATTCGTGTTTGCATTTGACCTACCACGCAGTCAAGTACAACACCTATGTACAGCTTGTCCGTCCCCAAGTCTTTCAACAACACTGTCCTAACGAGGCTGCAATGCTCTTAAACTCCGTCATAACGTCGATGGTGAAGTACTGCGCCTTGTAGGCAAACTCCATGGGCCGCAGCCCAGTGTCAGTGGAGATGTAGTTGCGCTCGATGAGGTTGATTAATCGCTCGATATTATTATGGTCTGTCTCCTTGCCGTAGGTATATTGGTGTTGCGTTGGGGTTTTAGTGAATGTTGGGGGGTGAGGGTGGAAGAGTGACTTACGCCTTTAGCAAGCTTCTCCCACAATAGCTTCCTGTTTTGCTCGTCGGTCATCGAGAACAGATTGTGTACATCCTTCAGGTATTGAAGCCGCCGCGGACGGCGTTGACTTCGCGCACAAATAGGCACTTGCTTTGAAGTTTTACTTGATATTTGCTTTCATTTCAAATCATAATCTACGCCGCCGCCACCACCACCATCGGTTCCAAGATCTAGTATGCTATCCCAAAACCGACCGCTCGCCCAAGGTATCTCATTTCTCATATCTCAAATGCCCACCCATGAATCTAATTCACACAAATCAACTAAGCCCCGAGCAGCTCCCATTTACTGGGGCATGCCCTCGAAGGGCTTAGCCAAGTGCTCCTGGCAGAAGGGGAGCTTGGACTTGGTCCAGATCTCGGTGTCCTATAGTATCGCCGTTAGTTATGCGGTTCAAAGGTACCAGTGGGGCAAGGGAGAAGAGAAAGGAGAGAAAATCAAAACATACAGGCTTGAGAGTCTTCTTAATCTCAGTGGACAGCGAGCCACCCTTGAGGGCAATGACGGGAGCGGCCTCAGGGTCGTGGGCGATGGGGGAGCCGCACTCCTCGCAGAACCAGCGCCAGACGGTGTTGCCGGAGTCGGCGGTGCCCTTCCACTTCTTGACGGGGCCGTTGATCTCGAGCTTGTCCTTGAGGACTACAGCAACAAGGGCTGTTTTGTGTGTCAGCTTATCTGCGTTTAATTCTCGATCTGGCAGTCATGGCGAGGGGACAAGAATAAAAAAAAGGGGGGGAGAGGTAAATATCAGGGTTCGGGTTATGTGCCTGAGTAGAGGTAATTCTAGCGGCCACACCATGGAGCTCGAGCTGGAGCTACGAAGTTGGTACAGCTAGGACCGCTGAAAGCCCTGTGCTGCAGCTGCAGAACAATGCATTACACGTATTGTTGAGATATTGCGGGGGTGGGGCGGGGTAGAGGGAGTTGGCTCGATGGGGGAGCTATCCCGAGCTCGGCGGTGGAAGAAAAGTCTCTGCTATGAGATAACTTCGTTTCCCCCTCCCGTTTGTGAAAAAGGAAAATATCCCGAGAGGTTCAAAGCATAGAAGGTGAACTTACAGTAGGTAGAGCCGGACTGACGCTGGCAGTCATCGCAGTGGTCGTAGCCAGTGAGGAGGGGCTCCTCAGTGTCCTTGACGGTGTAAGTGACAGCCTTGCAAAGGCAGTGACCGGTGAGAGGCATGTTGGCGGTTGTGGGGGGGTTGACTTGAAAAAGACTTTGAGTTGAGGAAGATGTCCGAACAAAAGAGTCGAGGACTAAAGAGTGGTAGAGCTGGTGGGAATATATAGGAAGCCGGTGGATGAAGAACTGAGGATGAGAGTGGTTCCTGACGGAACTCCACTTGGTTCTTATAGAAGATGGAGCATGGGCTGCATGACAGACGTGGTAGGTACGTATGCACGGAGGGCTCTCCAACTCGCTCCCCGCCCTATCAATCAGGGAAACTCAAATCATGGTCTCCGTAATCAAAGCCCGAAGCTCCATCCATCTCACAGCTTCGCCGTCCGAAGACAGGAGTTGGCATACGCCTCAGAGACAGACGAATCGGTTCCACGCTGCACACATGGTAATCTTGTCCTCCACACTGCTACAGACAGGGTCTCAAACCCCACTTCCTTCACCAACCAACACGACAAGTTGACGGTGAGCTCCTACGAGGCTGGATGAATATCACTTACTGGGTAAGTAGCAGCGCGGCTATCATGTAAGAGGTTCTAGATACCGATTTGACGATTACCCATGGGGTAATAGGGGTTGCCGTTGGCCGGGGGGGTAAACTGGCCTGTACGTCAGTAATCTGTACATGATCGTCCAGCCATTGAGATCCCTAGAATATTCCCGAAACTAACACAAAAGTAGGTGCATACGGGGTAGGTGTTTTGGCGGGGGCAGCGTGACAGATCCGCCAAGTCGCCAACGAAGGTTGTAGTCTCTGAATGCTTCAAAGCCTCATTTGCTGACAAGTTCCCAAACAGCATCCACGTAGCTACCCAACATGTAATGACAGCGGAGAGACAAGATCCTCAGAGATACGTGTATGTGTTAGCTGCCTCAAATATCCTTCATCTTGAGGATAAAGTGAAGGCAGAGAGGCACAGCACCTGAGGCAGTGGGGTGAAGGAATGAGGGCCTTTCCGGGATGGTAGAGAGTTCAGCGTGAACCCCAAGAGACCGACTTCCGCGACGAGTGAACCATGGCCCGAGATAACTCCAAAGGGTAATGATCTCGAAACCAAGTTCAAATATTTGTCAAGGTGATGCGTTATCTGGAGTATTTGGAAACCCGCAAGGCTGTTGAGCTTGACCGACTAAATTTGTCATTGTTCTTTTGAGAACCCCGCGTTGGGGATGCCGGTAAACGGAGCTCCACAGACTGCTTACTCCTTAGCTGGCTGTTAATACAGGGGGTATGCGCAAGCATAAACGGTGAAACACTGTGTTTCCCGCATCATGATTTGGAATTGATAACATTCGGATTTGAGTCTGGTTCGTGTAACCTCGCATCTCTTTGCTATGCTTACCTTGCTTCCGAGGGCATGTCATCCCACGCAAAGAAGTAATACAGCGGAGTTTCCGCTATTCGGAATCCAGATCCCATCCATGAGATCTCATATACTCGGCGTCGGGCTATGGAATCAGAACTCCGCCCTGATGGACTTTGTACGAAACAAAACTCCGAATGGTGGAACGGTCTGTCTATTACCATGGTCAATGCTGGCACCTATCTAGGTCCAAGATGGAAGGAGTAGCCTGGCGGTTAGTCATTGATTCCCAGGCATCGAGAAGACTCACCGCAAATATCAGTAATGTCTGCTGTACTCAGGATCGACAGTAGTGTTTTTGGAAACATGACAACCTCTTCCTCGCCTTCGACCGCAAGCCAAAGATTCAGTGCCGAAGACGCGCACCATCAGTCCCAGGGATAAGGATTCCAGCATCCTTCAACCATACCATCACAACCCCAAACTATGCTTCCTGACCATCAAATAGATGCCCTAATCGCCTGTAGATTCAGCACGGCGCCCTCTCGACAACAGATCTCTGTTAGCAATTGCCACGCCAAGGGGGGCATGCGAGCATCCATGCGAACCACGCCAATGCCACGAATCGCTGGACTTCGAGAACCGATACATATCCGAACGCAATCCTGTCCGCTAAGAACAGTTTCAAGACGCACTCCTTATACGCGGCTTTAGTGGCAGGATCCTCGTGTGTCAAGACGTAGGCATCCATGAACGAAGGACGGAAATTTCGGATATCAACTGCTGCTTGTCTCGTACGTGGGACTGCGTTCGAGGTCAATGGCCTCTCGATGGGGTCGGGCCGTCTTCGCAGGTGTTGAATGCACTTGAAGGCCAAGAATTCCCAGGGATTTGTGATGCTCAACGGCGGCGGAAATGTTTTCCGCAGAGCCAGCGCGGGTAAGACTCTTGGGTTGGACAACCATATGGTGCAGTTTTCATTCATCTCACTGAAGAAGGCCTCGATGTCGTGTGCATAGTACACAAACCTCGAGTAGAATGCAGGCGTGAGGACCTTGAACTCAAGCCTCTCAATGCTGGGCTTGCCGTCAGTGGCCTGATGAGAGAGCATCCTTTCAGTGTCGTGGGCTATTCCGCTGGCGATGTAGCTGACCTCAAGGGGGATGGTCGCCTTTTCAACCAGATGTCGCAAAAATCTTCGGAAAACTTTCTCTAGTTGCGACTCGGTGGGATTGGCGTTCCGAGCGATGGTCCCCTTGGAAGGCTCCGGACGAAACCAAACATGAAGTTGGCGGTAGAAGAACAGCGCGCGAGCTTGCAAGAGGATACGAGGGGCAGTGGCAAAGCCAACCCATCCCCAAGCTCCTATGAATCTGGCTTTCTGGTAAGTGGTCATAGAAAACGGGTCAATGGCCGGGCCCTCATGGTGAAGTCTTGCCACCAATTTGTCGTGGCCTTCCGACGTTGAAAGTCTAATGGTGACATCGACTATGGGTTTTCCATTGTTGCGAGGACTCAAGGGGTCGGTGGCAATCATGGAATAATATCCTTTGCGTGAATTGAACGGCGACACATGGAAGACCTTTGGCCATGCTTGTGTGAAGGGGATGCCATTGGCCTGTTCTTCTATCGCGCCCGCGATCTGATTCTCATAATCCGCCGGGTTGCCTTGCAGGTGATAGTTTAAACTACCCGGTACATGATCCCTTTTCAAGAAGTACATGTGTCGTTCACCGAAGGTATTGTTCACTTCCAGGATCATGGCGGCTAGTGATTTGTGCGAATCGTATAGGTACCAGAAGGAAACGGGGTTGAAATGATAGCAGAGGAATCGAGCTGCTGTAACCAAGTAGGCATGAGGGTATGTTGCCGGATCGACTCCCTAGATGGGTTAGCGAACACCTCGTAGAAAGAGTGCAAGTTTGCATACCTGAATTTGAAGGTAACTATCGAGCTTCTCGCGCAGGGTCAGCTCCCCGCTCTGGCGTTGCAGATAGTCAGAGGCATCGACGTCGAACCATCCCTTTTGCGGCCGTGATGATGACGAGAACCATGAGGCCCAGCCCGATGTTTGTTTGACTCCGACCGAAACCATGTTGGCTGCGTTACCTCGGTAGCCGACAGGAACTCCAACGACAAGATAGGCGTAAGAAAATGTGTGGCTTTTCGGGCTGAGTCTCGTGTGCGTTGTTCGGCATGGCAGAAGAAGAACTTGTCCAGGTCCGTCCCATCCTGGAGTTTCGACACTTGTCCATCGAAGTCGGAATATCTGGAAGAGTTGGAAAAACAGGAAAACGACTGCGGCGGCGGCGGAGAGTTTGGCAACTCCTGCGCAGATCTGGATTGTGGTTCTGCCGAAGAAGCCATTGCGAACGAGAATGAAAAAGGCCAGCAGTGTTGCGTCAAGGAAACCGGCGTAGAAAGTAAGAAAGCCGACGTAGTTGACGAGAGAGCCGACTGCGGCTGTCCCAGACAGGCCATTCATAGGAGAAATAAAGCTGAAGGAATGAAAGAAAAGCAGGTGCCCGCCTGCTTGGGAAGGTCGAAATGAAGATATGTGATTACTTCCGCTTTTTGGTTAAACGCGAGTGGAAGTCTGGTGGTGAGGGAGAACGGAGAAACTTAAATATTAGGTTGGCGTCGTTCAGCACACCATGAGCACCTTGATGGACACTCACAATAAGCTCGCTCCATCCATCCATCTTGCCGTCTACACCCACTATTGACCCATCTCACCTTCACGATAATATGTGACTAACGCCAGTCTAGACCACGTCGACCTGCCACGCGGTTGACTTCAATTTCTTCCCCACGGAAGGAGCGACGAACGCCGCCGATTGATAGGCAAGAGAAGGCGCAATAGGCGGAGGGGTTTGGATGAAAATCCCCTTATCGTGAATGATCGTGTCAGATGTGACGGTGCAGAATTGATTGATTGAAGAGTGTGTGACTGATTCGCCCAGAAGGTATGGGGGGTGCTGGGGTAACCTAGATATGCCTAGAAATTAGGTAATATTAGGTAGTTAGAGCGCTAACCTCTATATAGTATGGCTAAAACTACCCTTAAATCTAATATACCCCCTTATTTATAGACCTTTCAAATAGGGTAAAAGTAAAACTATTTATAGAATCCCTCTTTTAGTACATTAATTTCTCTAATTAAATTATAAATATCCTTTAGAATATTATCCGGAATCTCCTTATTTATCTTTATCTCCTTACGAATTAGTATATTCGTTATTCCTATTAATTCCCGGAATTTCTCGTAATTTAATTGTCCTAGAACCTTCATTAATTTATCGGCTAATATTTTCTTCGTCTCTAAATATTTAATTTTAATCCTTCCCTCTATAATTTCTTACTTTAATTAATAACAATAAATATCGACGTACTTCAATTTAATTATTAATTTCGCTACCTCAATAATTAATATACGGATCGTCTATATATTATTACAACCGATTACGGATATATCCTTATCGAGGGAAATATTAATTTCCTTATATAGACGTATAATAGCGATAACTTCCTTAATAACATTTAAAATCGATAACAATTCTACTTTTATCGTTAAAGTAAATACCATCTTTTATTTGATTATACCCTAATAAATTAAACTACTAAAGAATTTAATTACAAATTTATACGAATTCTTTCAATTTAGAGAATTGTCGGCATATAATATATTTAAGGCAATTT